CCAAAAGGTGGTGGTGCGTATTGTTATCACGGGAAAGAAATCTTAAAGAACCTCCACCTGCCAACACCCCTCCAAATTCTCTTTGCGGGACAGTCCAAAAGCGAGGATGCATGCCTGATCGTCTTGGTTGTTTCGGCGGCAGTCTTGATTGTCTGGAGGCTATCACCGAGTTGAAGGGCTAGGTGGTGCAGGTGTTGTACAAAACTTGGGTGGGTGGTGCTTGCATTGCATCTCCCTTCCCCCCACCCCACCCACCCCAACCTTGATTTGCCGAATCACCGTCACTGGCATTGGACTGATTTGCCAGGCGAAGCGGCAGGAGCTCGTGGTTTTCTTCCCTGGGCAATAGTGGTTCCCTCTATCACAGATTTGCGACTCACGACCGTGGCTAGCGACCGTGTTCGTCGCACATGCGAGAGCAACCAAGAGCGCATCAGCAGCATACGTAATAGTATCATCGTCTGCCGTGTCGCTGGATCTTATTTGACTCGATCCCAACGGGTCACAGCGAAGCGGATATAGACCTTCGATCAAAATTTCGCGCGTGTGGGCAAGACAGTGGGCCCGGGAGCGATGCTCTCTTAGCCATGAAGTAACACGTAAGGGGAAAGCACAATTCGTGGCCATCTTAGCCTGGATTCACGTATGTTAAAGAGTAGCAGAGGCAGCGGAAGCAGCGGTGGCAGCGGAGGCCGCAGCAGGGGAAGCCGGATCACCGACAGTTGTTATCGAGTGACCCGCTGGGGTTACCCTTGAGAAGATCCTCGGGGAAGGGCCACAGGTGCAGAGCCTGGGGGGCTATGGGCGCTCTGGCCCGCTATTAAGAAGCCCTTTTAACTCAGTGGTTAGTGGCTGAGTTTTTGACATGGTATCAGAGCGTGTTGACTCGGGTTCAATTCCCAGTGCTAGCGTTGCAGAGGCGCTCGTGCCTTCCACCTATCCAATCGAGGGGGGGTGTTGAGTGACCCACTGGGGTTACCCTTGAGAAGATCCTTGGGGAAGGGCCACATGTGCATAGCCTGGGGGGCTATGGGCGCACTGACCCGCTATTAACAAGCCCTTTTAACTCTGTGGTTAGTGGCTGAGTTTCTGAGAGTAATAGCAGAGCCAGCAGCAGTGGCAGTGGCGGCCGCAACGACCACATATAGCACTTTAACGCGCGAGCCGGGGACGCACACTTGGCGCTAAGACCGTCTTACTCCGCGCCGACCCTGGATGTGGATCGGCGGTGGGGTTGGCGGGGCGGTCCGCGCATCACTTCCACGTGCACACCGTTCCCCATGGACGCCTTTCTGCCCGTTCATCAGCTTCCGCCCGCCTCCGCCACTGCTGGCGCTTCCGCTTCCCCCTCCGCTTCCGTCTCCTCTTCCACCTCCGCGCCCTTGAACTCCGCCTCCGCTTCCGCGTCATGCCCTTCCGTCCCCTCGTTCTCGTCGCTATCCTCCTTCGTCCCCCTCCGCTTCCCCCCGTCCATCTCCTCCGTGCTATCTATCCGCAAGTCCTCGTTTCTCCTCACGCTCATTGTAGCACTCCTCTTAACTCTCGCCACCTCCCGCTTAGTATCGCTGCCCTCCGCGTCCCCCTGCCCTCCTCCCGCGCGGCGCATTTCGACGCTGGTGCGCTGGCGGGAACCGGCCACGCGGCGGAGGGAGTGGCGGAGCGGTGGGGGCAGGGGGAGCACGGGGAGCCCAGGGCGCAAGGAGCGCAGGGGGAGGGGGTGCAGGGGCTGGGGCCACATGGGGAAGGTGCGGAAGGGCCGGGGGCACATGGGGAAGGTGCGGCTGCTGCATGGGCGGATGGTAGAGACGCCTCTAATGTGTCCGTAGGATCCTCGGACAAGGGAGGCGAGAATGGGGGCGAAGTGAGTGAGGGAGGAGGGAAGAGGGCACCGGAGTGAGGGGAGGAGATAGGGAGTGAAGGCGATTTAAATGCGGTCGGCGAGGGAGGTCAGAGGAAGGGGGTTCTTAGTGCAGCTGTTACTGCGGAGGGCAGGTGCTTGGTGTGCAAGCGGTTAGCGAGACTGCCTTGTATCGAGGATACGCCTCAGGTGACGTGGCTACCAGGTGGCAGCAACGCGGACGAAGTGGAGAAAGGGACAGAAGGGGCAGGCGGGGTAGGGGAGGGGGAAGGGGGGGGGAGGCAGTGGGTGTGGAGCGGCAGCGGCAGTGGCAGCAGTAACAGTAACAGCAGTGATAGTGTTAGCAGCAGCAGCAGCAGCGGGCAGGGAAGGCAGTGCATATTCTGCAAGATGTCAGGCGGCGATGCATTGAGGCAGCTAGCAGGATCATGGATAGTGGTGGCAGGGGACTCTGAGGTGCGGCAGCTGCTGGTGGCGCTGATGCAGCTGCTGCTGGCACGCAACGACCCGGCAGCCATGGCTCCCGTGCACCAGTTCGTGTCGCTGAAGCACGCCGATTTCCACCACTTCATCCCCTCGCATGACATCTGGATCGACTTCTTCTGGGCGCCATTTGCTCCGAATATCACTGCCGCTGTTGCTTCACTACCTGCCACCGCTGCTGCTGCTGCTGCTGCTACTAATGCACAAGCTTATTCTCCTGATGCTGCTGCTGATTCTGATGATTCTGATGCTGGTTCTACTCTAGGGACCCAGCGGGACAACAGTATGGACGGAGGCAGCAGGAGCAGCAGAGGCAGAAAGGGGAGGATGGGCCAAGAGGTGGGAGGGCAGCACCGTGGGGATGGTGAGGAAATGCTGCCGTATCAGCAGCACTCGTGGCAGCGGCAGCAACAAGAGCAGCAGCAGGAACAGAGAAAACAGGAGCAGAGACGGGAGCAACAGCAACAGCAGCTACAGTCACAGCAGTACCAGCAGCCTCAAACCCCTCACCCAACCTCATCTCTCTCCCAACCATCCCCTCCATCCCCCACCAACCTGCTTCCTCGCTCCCTCTCACCATCCATCACCCCAGCCTGCTCCCCTCCCGCCCCTCCCTCCCACCTGCCCCGATATTGTCATTCTGGGGTTGGGCCTGTGGCACATGCCATGGGTGACTGACCCTTCACATTTTGCAGCAGAGCTTGCCACTCTTAGATCAACCGTGCTGCGCCTGCTGGCCTCCCCCTGCTGCTCGCCCTTTCTGGGTGAAAGTGGAGGGGGGATAAGGGGGGTGAGTGGTGTGGGCGAGGAGGAAGGAGAGGGTGTGGAGGAGATGGCTGCTGCTGTGGTGGAGGGAATGAGGCGAGCTGCTGCTAGGGAGGGGAGTGAGGGAGGTGGGGAGGAGGAAGAGGAGGAGGTGGGAAAGGTGAAGGATGAAGAGGAGGAGGGGGAGGGGCAAGAGGAGGAGGAGGGAGGTGGAGATGAGGGTGTAGGTGTAAAGAGGAGGAAGGGGTTGGAGAGATGGGTTGGGGGGAGCGGAAAGGCGAGTGGGGGGAGAAGACGCAGGGATGTTCAGAGAGGGCTAGGAGCAAGACGGAGGGTGCAGGAGGTAGGTGCAGGGGGTGCAGAGGGTGCTGAGGGTGCAGAGGGTGCGGAGGGTGCAGGGGATGTGGAGGGTGGTAAGTTGGAGGAGGTAGGGGAACGGTTGGATGGGGGTTTGGGCGAGAGTGAGCTTGGGGAGGAGACGGATCCTATCTTGGATGCAGAAGAGGATGAGGAGGAGTAAGGGAATGAGGAAGGGAGGGGGGGAGAGAGCAGAGACCAAGGGTTTGTGGTTGGGGAGGGCAGTGAGGAGGGGCTCGACTCAGAGGAGTTAAAAGAAAAGAAGGGGAGTAGCGAGGAGGGGTGGAGCGGAGGGGGGGTTGGGAGGGAGAAGCAAGGTGAAGGTGAGGGGGTGGGGCTGGGAGGGGAGAATGAGAAGAGAGAGGTTGAGGTGGTGGAGACGGAAGAGGGGGTGGGGTTAGAGGAGGAGGACGAGAAGGAAATAGAACGGAAGGTCGCTGGACCACCAGCCACGGAAGAGGGGAAAAGAGTGACACGAGGTGGTGGGTTGGATGGAGGAGAGTTGGACGAGTTGGAAGGAAATCAAGGGGATGAGGGAGAGGAAGCGGTGAGGGACGAGGGAGACGTGAAGAGACAAAGAAAGGGACAGGGGGGAAAAGAGAAGGAGCGAGGGGAGGAGCAGGGCGAGGAACAAGGGGAGCAAGAAGCGGGGGAGGAGCAAAAAGGGGCGGAGGAGCAAGAAGGGGGAGAGGATCAAGTAGAGGAGGTCCAGGAGGAGCCAGAGGGGAAGGCGGAGGAGAGCGAAAGTGACAGTGAGAGTGAGGGTGAGAGTGAGAGCGAGGGGGGGGGGGGGGAGGAGGTGGTGCGGGGAGTGCCAGCCATGCAGCCACTGTTCATTTGGCTGGGGTTGCGTGAGCTGCTCCATATGCGGCTCAACATGGAGAGGAAGCGCGAGAAGATGTCCCCTCGCATGGTCAACCGATACGACGCTGATTTTTGAGTCGCCTAAAAAATCAGCACAAGAAGATGTCCCCTCGCATGGTACACCGATACGATGCTGTGGTGCGGCGGAGCGGCCTGCTGCTTGTACAGGAGGCGGGGAGGGCTTTTGAGTCGGCTCAAACATCATCTCGAGATGATGCCGGGGTGCGAGGGGGTGGCTTGCCGGTGGAGGGGAAGCGAGGGACGGTGGACGGGAGTGAGGAGGGAGAAGAGGTGGAGAATGAGGGGGGTGGTGGGAGCAGCAAGGTGGGGGAAAGTGAGCCAGGGAGTGGAAGAAGAGGGGTCGGAAGTAGGTAAGGAGGGGAGTCTCAAGCGACGTTGCACAAGGGTCATGGGGGTGAGGTGGGGCCTTGCTTGCTGCTGCCGCTGAGGGAGCTGAGTAGGGGGTGTGGGGCGACATGCACGCCAGACTGCATGCATTACAATGATGATATGCTGCTGCTGTGCAGATCATGCTCAACCATGCTGCTCTCTTGCTGTAACCTGCTGCTATCCAAGGCATGCCAGTTCTGTGGCGAAGTGTATTGTGCTTACCTAGATGTGTTGAAGGATACTAATGAGTTAGTTGTCAGCTATTCTATGCAGAGGTTGCAAGCAGTGGTCTGATCATGTGTCGGTTGCATAGCAGAAGAATGTCAAAACGGTACATAATTCGGTAAAATTAGTTGCCATACTGGCTTGCATCACAACACCACAGCAACTGGCAAGACAAAACCACGACAGACACCATTTACCCGGTGGACTCGCCACAAGCAACCTACCCAAGCGTCCTCCCTCCCTCCAACCCTCTGTCCCTCCAACCCAGCACATGCCCCCAGATTGCATCGGGCATGCAGTGTAGTGTAACCACATCACATCACACTGAGCAAGTCTTCTGCATGCAGGCGGGCAGGCACCCACCACCACACGACGAGGCAGGGGACAGGTGGATCATCCAGTTTGAAAAAGCGCCTCCAGGCACGTCACATGTCACACCACAGGGCGGGCTGGTCTAGAGTCCACTCAAGGCAATGACAGCATGTCACACGACAGGGCGGGGAGGGTTGGAGTTACACAACGGGCAGGGATGGTTCGGGTTACACGACAGGGCGGGGAGGAGGGTTGGAGTTACACGACGGGGCGGGGGGGCTGGTCCCTGGCAACTCTGGTGAGGCGGTGGAAGACCTGTTGCAGGGTGGGCTGGCTGAAGCTCATCTCCTCTATGCCCAGCCGCGCCCTCTGCCCCTCCAGCTCGCTCCACACGCGAGCCAGCCCCCGGAGGTCGTCGACTGGTACCAGGAACTTCACCTGCACGCAACCACTGCTGCTGCTGCTGCCCGCGCCTGCTTCTGTTGCTGGTGATGCTGGTGGTGGTGCTGCTGCTGAAGTGGCACCACCTGCTGCTGCTTCTGTGGGAATGGCAGCTGCTAGTGCGGCTGCTGCTGCTGTGGTGTCTCCGGCTGCTGGTGATGCAGGTGGAATGGCAGGGGGGCCTGGTCTGGGATCGCTGTTGTGGCGAGATAAGTCGCTAAGCTCGATACTCAGCTCGTCCACAGTGATGGCTGCTGCTGCCGCTGGAGTAGCTACAACAGATGCAGGTGGTGGCGATGCCACTAGCTGCTGCTGCTGGTGCTGGTCCTGCCCCCCTTGCAGCGCCACATCCTCGTGCTCCCCTCCCAGCAACGAACCAGCATCACCAGCACCGCCAGTGGCAGCGGAAGGCATGAGAGCAGGAGCGTCTGGATGCAGATAGTCCGAAGCATGAGGCGCATGGTCACTGCTGATAGGCAGGGGAGCCGCGTCGTCGTCGTAGTGCTCTGAGAAGGTGGGCGCGACGGAGGAGAGGAAGGCGCGGATGGCTGGCAGGCGGCGGGGCTGCGCGGAGAGCAGAAGCGTGTAGGCGGAGCCATAGCGCGCCTTGAGCGCCTGGGGGGAGCCCAGGCACTTGAGCTGGCCTCGCACTAAAATGCCCACGCGGGAACTGGGAGAGTGGGGGTTGGGAGTGGCGAGTGGTAGAGTGGACAAGGGCCCTTGTCTGCTTACTAGAACACAGAGGGGACAAGGCAAGGGGTGGAAGAAAAGGTTGACATGACCCATGCTCTGGTGGGTCTTATAGCATAATTGGGAAGCGAAGAAGAGGAGGACGAAACGGTACACACCCGAGGGCTTCTGCCTCCTCAACGGAGTGGGTGGCGATGAGAGTGGCGCGGTGTGGGGCGTCGGAGAGAATGCGCCCCCACAGCAGACGCCGACTCGCAATGTCCATAGCTGGCAGGGAGCGACCGGTGAAGGAGTGGGGGAGGAAGGGAGGGGGAACGAGGTGAGTGAAGAGGGCACAGGGGCGTGGAGTGGGATAGATTCTGTGAGTGGGTGGTGGCAAAACAGCTACAGTGTTCGTTCTGTTGAAAGCACAACAAAAAAGTAGTAGCACATACCTTAAAGAATGAAAAACATGTGGAGGAGGGAGAGAGGGAGGAGGAGGTGTACTTTGCGGCTGCAGCTGCTGCTGCAAGCAACAATCCGGGCGGCACTCCAAACCACAACATCCCCAAGACATCCCGCACCACCGCACAGCAAGCCACACCCCAAGCCACACCCAAAGGCAACCCATTCCATTGCACGCCATACCCAACAAAATCCTGGCGAATACCTTGCGAAGGCTCGTCCAGCAGCAGCACCGCCGGGTCTCCCAGCAGCGCTGCCGCCACCGCCACGCGCCTCAGCAGCCCCGAGCGACACGCGTCTATGCGCTGCGATGCCTCGGACGCTGGGAGCGAGGGACAGGGGGATAGAGGGGGGAGGGAGAAGAAGGAGGGAGGGAGGGAGGGAGGGAGGGAGGGAGGGAGGGAGGGAGGGAGGGAGGGAGGGAGGGAGGGGAGAGGAAGGTCATGAAGGGAAGGGGAGGAAGAAAAGTGACTACAGTGGCGAGAATCAGTGGGAGAGTGATCCAGGGTTGAAGGACGCAGGGCTTACGGGAGATGCCGAGGGACTGCAGCACGTGGGTGACAGGGGCGGACAGGGGCTCCCTCAGCCCTTTGACAGACGCCATGAAGTGCAGATACTCCTGCACTGACAGGAACCCGTGCATCATCTGCAGGGGAGGGGAGGGAGCGGAGTGGCATAGGTAAAGCGGTTATGTACAAGGTTGAAAAGATAAGAGAGAAGTTCAACGGACGCCATGAAGTGCAGGAATTCCTGCACTGACAGGAACCCGTGCATCATCTGCAGGGGAGGGGGGGAGGGGAGAGGGAAAGTTGGGGGGGGGGGGGAAGAGGAGAGGAAAAGAAAGGGGTAGGGAGGGGGGAGGGCCAGGGAAGGGGAGGATGAGAAAAGGTGGAGGACACAGTTGGTACGACATGAGACAAGCGTGGGAAAGGGGACGTGAAGAGGAGGTGGAGGGAAGAGTTGAATACTGCAGAATGAAACAGAGGGGGGACACGCTTTAGCTCTATTTTCTCTGATTTCTCTACTCTCCCACACCCGTGCCGGTGCCTGTGCCAGTGCCCGTGCCTGTGCCTACAGCCAAATACCCCTATGCAGCTCACCCGTGTGTGTGTGAATGTGAAGTGCACTCACGTCGGCCTGGGGGCAGTAGCCGATGATGGAGGGGTCGTTGAGGTTGGTGAAGCGCACGCTCTGCCCGTTGATCAGCGCGTTGCCATACGACAGGCAGCTCGCCCCCGCCAGACACTGCAGCAGCGCTGTCTTGCCCGCCTTCTCCCCACCCACCAGCACCACCACCTGCCAGGGCAGCATCGCATAAGGGAAGAGGAGAGCGGAAGGGATGGGGGGGTTGCTTCTGGCAGCAGCGTTACTTCGCCCCACTTCTCCCCGCCCACCAGCAGCACCACCTGATGGGATTAGCATTGTAAGACGATGAGAAGAGCAGAATTTGAGAGGAGAGGATGGGAGGTGCGAGATGTTGATGGTAGCATTGCTATATGAGGAGAGGATATGAGGCGCGGACGAGGCAGAGCAGCTGGACGAGTCGCGTGCATTTAACAAGTATCTCTCCGCACTGACGGGCGTCATAAACGCCTTGGCTCAAAAGATGTTGCACATACTGTACCGCAACAACACGCTGCCCAAACTGCTGGCGGACTCGTTGTGTCCGGCACTGTGCTCACAGCGAGTCCGCCAGCAGCTTGGTGAGCGTGCTGATGCGGTACGGGATGTGGGACATCTTCTGGGCGAGGTCACTTATGATGCCCGTCACCGCAGAGAGGGACTTGTAAATTGTGCGTGACATGCCCAGCTGGTTCCCCATGGCATGGGTCTCTGTAACGGCATGCTCCGACCCAACCTCACTTGGCACATGAGCAAGGGTGATTGAGCGTGAAACAAGCCCAAGGGAAGGCCCACCATGTGAGAGAGACAGGACGGATGCAAAGACTGGGTCGAAACAGAGGAGCAAGAGAAGGGGCAGATAGACAAATAGACAGGCAGGCGGGCAAGCAGGCAGGCAAGCAGGCAGGCAAGCAGGCAGGCAAACAGACAGGCAGGGCAGGAAGACATGGAGAGGAACGTTGCAGCATGGAGAGGACAGGGTTGTACCTGTCCTCGTGGCACTCCGAGCCAGAGATTAGACACTGCCCACACTCCCGGGTCCTTGCCTATCCCACACACACCAGACGATGCTCCAAAGTTCTGAACAACAAAAAGGTAGGCCCGCAGGTTAAGGGAGAGGTGGAAACAGCACGAGCCTGAGGAAGTAGTTGGAAAACCAACGGGAATAGCGAAACAAGCACCCATGAAAAACAATCCACAGCTGTAGTACATAATCCCTCTACTCCCCGCCCCAGCAACTCCCTCATCTATACATTCCCCAACCGTATTTCCTAGCCTGCCCAGCTCCCACCCCCCCATCCGCCTCCCATTTCCCCCTTCCCCATCCGCTTACCTTGCCAACGCTGCTGCAGAGCACGAGGTCCCCCTCCTCGCCTCCGCTCTGCACGAAATCCCACTTGGCCGCACTCTCCTGCACGCGCTCCTTCTCCCGCACAACATCCCCGTCGCCGCTCTCCTCGTCATACCCCGGACCCATCATGGCCGCGAGATCCCCAGCCCCTTCCTCGTCCTGGTTCTCCCAGTCCCTATGCAGCTGCCCCAGACGCAGCGCCATGAGGACAACGGCTATGACGACGGAAGTCATGGAGACTTGCACGGGGTACGCCGGGTAGTGGAGCGAGTAGTAGTCCGTGGCTGAGAGGGAGTAGATGTCCAGGGGGGAGGACGTGAGGGGCTCGTGCGCGTACGCTGCTGCGATGAAGTGGAGGCTGGACATGAGAGCGTAGGGCGGGGAGAGCAGCGAGAGCAGCCCGTGTGGGATGGAGAAGGAGGCGGGGGACACACGGAGCATGAAGACGAAGGGGATGACGGCGAGGAGCAGGAAGAGGAGCGAGAGCGTGGCGGCTGCGAGCTGGGCCGAGTCGAAGGAGAAGGAGAGCAGGTAGGACAGGAGGACGAGTGCCGGGATGGTGATGGCGAACACCACAAAGAGGGCTGGCAGGGCGGGCTGGGGCGGGGGAAGGGGAGAGGGGGAGGGGGTTGTGGGAGAAGGGGTGGAGGAGGGAAAGGGTGAAGTGGGACTGTGGGAGGATAGCAGGAGAGGGGGGGGGTTAAAGGGAGGTGGAAGAACTAGGAGAAGTGGAGGGAATGGAGGTGGGAAAAAGGAGTGCGTTCAGTTCATGTACAACACACCACCTGACACGTGAAAGTGAATGCACAACACACAATGTAGACACTGTGTTCCACAGTGAACGCGTGATGCATACAACGCACCACAGTGAACGCGTGATGCATACAACGCACCACAGTGAACGCGTGATGCATACAACGCACCACAGTGAACGCGTGATGCATACAACGCACCACAGTGAACGGGGAGGACTGGAAGCAGAGGCCGACAGCAGTGATGAGCAGCGTGCAGAGCCACATTGCGAAGCAGTCCACGACGGCTGTGCCCAGCCACAGCGCAAAGCCACGCATGCCGCACACCTTGAGCATGGTGCGCAGCCCATACTCCATCTCCGCCACCACCTGACACGTGTAGAGAGGGGGTGGGGGGGTGGTGGTCGCAGACAGGAGGAAGATGAGCATGATGGACAGAGCGCAAGCTGCGCATGCTGCACACCTTGAGCATGGTGCACAGCCCGTACTCCATCTCCGCCACCACCTGACTTGACACACATGGGACGGCATTGGGGATAACAGGATTCACGAGAGGAGAGAGGGAAGGGCAGGCGATGGAAAAAAGGGAAGTGAGGAGGAGAAGGGGAAGAAGAGAAGTGGAAGGGGTGGGTGGGGTCGTGTGTTGGGACACTTGTGAATCTTTCCACAGGCTGAGGCCTGAGGCAAACGAATCGAGCGCAGGCACGGAAGGAGGGAAGTCTTGCCACAGGTTTGCTGTGGGCTGTTCTGAGCACCTGAGCGGAGAGGATAGGCGGCACCATGAGCAGCCCGATGGCCACAACCGCAGCAACAATGTACGCAAAGACGAAGTCGGGAGAGGAGAAGTGCAGCGGGTAGCTCTCGACGGTGATGCTCTGCGGTGAAGCCTGGATGTCGTGCTGCGCCGCCAGCAGGCGGAGGAACGCGTTGTTGAGCGTCGCGATCACTGCTGGCACCTGGTGGATGCGCCACGGCTGGTACAGCAGCGTGAAGCTGTAGGCACACTCTGCAGTGCAGAGGGAACAGGCGGGCAGAATGAATCAAGGAAAGGGAGTCGGGAGAAGGAAAGGGGAAGGTGCAGGGTTGGTTCCTGGTGGATGCGCCATGGCTGGTGCAGCAGCAGGAGGCTGTACGTGCACTCTCCGCGCAGCTCAGTTGGAAAACACCCGCTAGGAAAACGAGGGAAGGGGGTGCGGAAAAAGAAGAAAGGGTTGTGGGGAAAAAAAGAGGGGAGCGGGGGGAGAGGAAGAAGAGGAAGGGGGTGGGAGAGAGGCGGTGAGGTAGAGGGAGGAAAAGGAGTGGCACGAAACCAGAAGCAAATTTTCAGGACGAGCTAGGCACTGGGTCACCGCGAGTTGCTTAAGCCACAAACAATACAACAAAGGTGTTGCATCCTAGTGTCCTAGTGTCCTCATATCCTCGTCCCACCCACCTCTTCCCTGTCCCGATCTCTTTCTCTCCTCCTCCCCCCCCCACACCCAAATGCCCATACGCCCATGCCCCTCTGTCCTACGTCCCAACCAGCCCAGGGCAGTCATTCCTCCCTTCCCTCCGAGCACTCACGTGACATGTCCACCCCTTGGAACAGCACCCCCACGGCCTTGCTGCCCACGCCATTCCGCTCCGCGTTCGCCACGTCTGTCTGAAACCGCTCCAGCACCGCCTGCTCCGACCCCAGCTGCGCGTGGTTCTCCCCCAGGCGGTCCAGCAGCTGCTTGGCCGCTATGGCGGAGGCGGGGGACGTGGCCGAGTAGATGACTGGGTACGCGCTGTCGGTAGCCAGCTGCGGGGCTGTGAGGAGCAGCGAAGGGGAGGTGACAGACGAGCCGAAGAGCTGGATGAGGAGCGCTGCTACGGCGAAGATCTGGGAGGGGGGAGGGGGGAGGGGGTGGGGAGGTGAGGAGGGGAAGGACGGAGAATAAGTGGGGATAAGGGGGGGGAGGGGACGGGGAAAAGAGGGGAAGGGGGAAATGGTGGGAGTTGACGGAAGCAAGTGTTCACGGACCATGACATACCAATCACGAGCACCTATACAGATAGAACCTTCAACCAGCACATTTGACAAGCCAGCACACGGCACGGCACGGCACAAAGCAGCACGTACCACAGGCAGGCCGAACGTGCTGAGAGTATTGCCGGTGTTCCTCCAGTAACTTGCTGCTCTGAGGAAGCACACTCCCTTCACCTGCCGCCGGAACACAGCCAGTGGCTTGTCCCGCGCCGCCCCCTCACTCACCAGGCCCGCCGCCCCACCCACCGCACTCCCCACTGTAGTCCCACTCCCGCCACCACTGGCAGCACCAGCGCCACTGCCACCCCCCCCACGCCCATTCTCCTCTCGCCTCCTCTCGCCCGAACTCCCAGCACCAGCAGCAGCACTGTCGGAAGCTCCAGGAGAATCCAACAGAGACTGCCCCTCGTCCTCCTCTGCCAAAGCACCTGCGCCGGCGCCCATACCCATGACAAAGTCCATGGCGGACGCGTCGGCCCGGGAAGCGGATAGAATGGCTCCGGCTGCCTCCTCGTCCTCGTCCTGGAACTTGAGGAAGACCTCCTCCAGGGTCGTGGCCTCCATCGCTGCGTCTTCGACCCCTAGCTCTGCTGCACGGCTGTGGGTGGGGAGGAGGGCGAGAGAGAGAGGGGGGGGGTGGATAAAATGGCCCCGGCTGCCTGCTTGCCCTCGTCCTGGAACTTGAGGAAGACCTCCTCCAGTGTTGTGGCATCCATGGCTGCGTCCTCCACTCCTAGCTCCGCTGCACGGCTGTTGGTGGGTGGGAGAGGGATTGAGAATGGATGCGACGATGGGGTGAGAGAGGGGATGAAAATTGAGCAAGACCTCCTTGAGGGTGGTCGCCTCGTAGCTGCATCCTCCACCCCTAGCTCCGCTGCTCGGCTGTTGGCTGGTGGGATAGAGAGAAAGGGAGAGGGAGAGGGGATGCAAGGATGGGGTGAGAAAGTGTATGGAACCTGAGAACGACCTCCTCTAGGGTCGTGGCCTCCATTGCTGCGTCCTCCACCCCTAGCTCCGCTGCTCGGCTGCGGTGGAGGTTGAGCGGGATTGACTGACGAATGTTGGCCGTTGCATGCCCCGTATTCTTGGGTTCGGTTGGCAGAACCAAAAGATGGAAGGGGAGGGAAAAGAGGATGTGGCGGGGGGGGGAGGGAGAGAGTAGAGGGGAGCGGATGAGGCAGGGGAGAAACGAAGCGCCGCGTAGGCCTACTGAGGAAGCGACGCGTGGATGAAGTGTCAGGCGCTAAAAAGGCTACTAGTGCGGTCACCTGGAGAGGTCGAGCAGGAGAGCGGGGATGTGTGAGGCGGCATGGAAGGGCAGGGAGTAGGTGGCATAGTCGGTCTGGTGCAGGCCTGACGAGGGCATGAGGACGGCGTCGGGCACGTGCGACTGCACCAACTGCACCACCTTGGAGCCCTTGAACACCGCGCCCTTGGTGATGTGCAGCAGGTAGGAGAGACCTGAGAGGATGAAGATGCAATGCACACATGCACACACATGGACGGATGCATGCACACACGGGGGAAAGAATCGGAATTATGGAGGGCTTTAGGCATGGGGACGGCATCGGGCACGTGCGACTGCACGAGCTGCACCACCTTGGAGCCCTTGAACACCGCACCCTTGGTGATGTGCAGCAGGTAGGAGATACCTGAGAGGGGGTTGGGGGGGGTTGGAGAAAGGGTGGGGGGCACAAAAGGGCAGACATGCACGCACACAAGAGCACTCGTGCACGCACACGCACACACACACATGGGGGCATGCATATACACAAGTGTGTGCAACAACATACATGAATGCAAACATACAGAGTGAGGGGGTTATGATCGTGAGGAGGAAAAAGTGGAACAATCAAAGGGGTTAAGCCACCCCGTTCGTGCCTACTTCCTTGCACTTCTCCCGCTATGCCTTTCCCTGCCTGCTCTCCAAATCCTCCCCCACTCCACTCCCCACCCAGCCCATTTTCCAACCTCCCCCCTCTACCCGTTTTCCCCCCATCTTTGACCAACCACCACCCCCCACCCCCCCCCCTTCCCCCCCTCCCATCCAAACCCCCCACTCCACTGTCTGTTCTGTGGTTCGCTACGCCCTTTTAAATCCCACTGAACCACAATGAACCGCACTGAGCCGCACCGAATCGGTTGCGCAGGAAGAGCGAGGAGCCGCAGCACTTGAGGCGGCCGTGCGAGAGGATGGCCTTGCGGTCCGCAGCCAAGTCCGCCTCCTCCATGCTGTGCGTGGTGAACACCACCACCCGCCCCGCCTTGCGCCGCTGCAGCAGATCCCACACCTGAACAGATAATGGCGTGGGGAGAGGGATGGGGATGGGGATGGGGATGGGGATGAACAAGGGTATGGGCAGCAGCACGGGACACATATCAGGGCACGGGCACAGGCACGGGCATCAGCACGGGGGGGGAACAGGGATGGGAGGGAGACGGGAATGTGGAAACATGATGTGCGTGGGCGTAGGAGTGGATGGGCATGGGCATGGGCATGGGCACGGGCACGGGCACGGGCATGGGCAGTAGAAGGTGCGAGTGAGAAAGGGCCCACGATTCCCACTCAAGGGAAGTGAGATACACGAGACAGGGGGAAGGGGGCACCTGTTTCTTGGAGGAGGGGTCCATGCCCTTGGTTGGCTCGTCCAATAGCAACACCTGGCGGGGATGGGATGGGATGGGATGGGAGAGATGGGAGAGACAAGGAGGGGGAGAACACGAGTGGGGAATGTAACGCTGGGCAGGTGAGTGTGGCACAGCAGCGCTAGATCAAATGCATTTCAGGGACCCCATAAACCATTCCTCCGAACGACAACTGCCCCTCGCCCAAACCTCGTCCTTACCCGCCCCCCTCTCCCCACCCACATGTCTCCCCTACCCATGCCTCTCTCTCCCCACCTGCGGCTCCCCAATGAGTGCGATGCTGAGGATGAGCTTGCACTGCTGCGAGGGCGAGAGCTCAAACGCGGGCCGGTCCGCCCACCCCTGGAGCCCCATCTCCTATCTCGAACATCAGATTGCCCACCGCCGGCCGCACCTCTCGTGACTCGACTCAAAGGCAGACTCACCTGCGGCTCCCCGATGAGCGCGATGCTGAGGCTGAGCTTCCTCTGCTGCGAGGGGGACAGCTCGAACGCGGGCCGGTCCGCCCACCCTTGGAGCCCCATCTCGAACATCAGATCGCCCACCGCCTGCCGCACCTTCTCCCGCCCCAACCGCCACGCTCCCAGCCTCCACCCCCCGCGGCCCCCCTGCTGCTGCAGCTGCTGCCCTCCCTCCCCGCCTTCCCCCTCCTCTCCTTCGCCTTCGCCCTCTTCTGTCTCTGCTGCGCTTAGACGGTCCAGGTCGCCCTTTATCTCAGCAAAGAAGGTCAGCTAAGGAGTGGGGTAGTGTGGGGGATGGACAGGGGAAGACAGACGGGTGGAAGTGGGGAGAGAGACATGGAGAACTTGCTGCCGTTTCATTTTCTTTTAGAGGCCAATGATTCCTACCAGTGACTGACGGATGCTGCCTAGTTGGGTGCACGGATGTGGCGATGTGGCGATAGGCTGAAAGGGGAAGTGAGAAGCATACGTACTGCGATCGCAGACACACCTACCTTAACTCCCCCAACAGAAACCCCCCAACATCAAATCACACATACACACAGGGACACGCATGTTAGAGATAGGCTGCAATTCGGTTGGCACAACTTTGTGTGTTGGCACTTTGTTGGTTTTAGGGATACGCATATAGGTTAGGTTGGGTGTAGCTATGTTTTCATCCCCAACCTATCCCAACCCAATCTATCCAAAATCCCCACGATTTGGGAGGATTCCCTTGGGATTTCCTCCGATTCTCCCTTATCCCTCCTCATCCTCTCCGATTCTAGGTACTTAAGGATGTATGCTCTTGCTCATGCTATCAATGAGGTTCTCAGTCTTTGATATGGTATCAGAGCTCGACTCCGCCTAAGCGGCTCTTGATCCTCTCGCTCCGTTGGAGATTAGCATTTGCGTTTTAGAACGCAAAGCTTTTCTAGCCGTCTCAACTCTGCGCGGCGCTTCTCCTCGTGCTGATGCCCGTCGCCCCGCATCTGCACGACACTTCTTCTCATCGGGCTGAGCCCGTCGCACCTGATTGGGCTGAGCCTGTCGCCCTGCATTTGCTCGTTGCACTTGATCGTACTGAGCCCGTCGCCCCGCATCTGCTCGTCACACTTGATCGGGCTGAGCCCGTCGCCATGCATCTGCTCGTCGCACCCGATCGGGCTGAGCCCGTCGCCCCGCATCTGCTCGTCGCACCTGATCGGGCTGAGCCCGTCGCCCTGCATCTGCTCGTTGCACCTGATCATACTGAGCCCGTCGCCCCGCATCTGCTCGTCGCACCTGATCGGGCTGAGCCCGTCGCCCTGCATTTGCTCGTCGCACCTGCTCGGGCTGAGCCCGTCGCCCCGCATCCGCTCGTCGCACCTAATCGGCCTGAGCCCGTCGCCCCGCATCTGCTCGTCGAAGCTGGACGGGCTGTCGCCCGTTGCCCTTGCAACAGCGGGGGGTGCAGCGGTGAAGCGGACAAGGGAGCAATGGCGAAGCGGAAAGGGGGCAGCCGCGAAGCGGAAAAGGGAAAGGGCGGGGGGTCGCGGGGCAGCGGGATTGCAGCAGCATATCGACAATTGTCATAGATTTCCAGCGATAAGATTTCCTTCTTAATCCGCCATTCTCGCTCTCCGAGTGCTGAAAATCCGCGAAGGAAAATCCCATTTTTCGCGGAGCCCGCGCTGCGACTTAAGAACTGCGCTACGCGCGGAGAATGGGTTCTTGGAGCATCATGGCGTACCCTTCCACGTCTCTCTCGAACCCGATCACTCCCTTGCGCCTTGACCCAAATGGCTCAAGCCCTAACTTCAAAGAATGGAGCTATGGGGTTGATAAGCATCTCCTAAGCCGCAAGATTGAGGGAATTTGCCTCAAGGATGTCCTCCTCAATCGCGGCAAAGGAAAGATGCCGATCCTTCCCAAGAAGCTCTCGGCCACGGCCACAGAGGAAGAGTCAAAGGCGCATGAGGAATCCATGTCCAAGTATGAGGAATCTTGCAGCATGTGGGAGCAAGCCGACGCCGCTATCATTGGCGTCTTCGTCGGCGCTACCCCTTCCCAGCTCGTCAAAACTTACCATAACTATCCCTCCGCGCATGCCATTTGGGAGTACCTCATCGACCTCTGTCTCAACAAAACCGCTGTGGGGGTGGCGATCCTCATCCCCCGCATGTTTCAAGTACGTCTGGAGGAGTGCCCTGGAATGGCAGATTACGTTGCTGAGATTCAAGGGACTCATCAGGAGCTAAAGCAACTCGGCATTGTCTTCCCAGAGCAGGCCCTTGCAGCAGCTCTGCTTGACGGGCTGACCCCCTCTTACAATGTCACCCGCTCCATGCTTCTCCATCTCCCGCCAGAAGAGCTAACCTTTGCCAAAGTCTCTTCCGCAATTCTCTCTACTGAAAAAGACAACACTGCGCAGGCTCGTGCAAATGCGCTTCGCGCTCCTGTCCCGGCTCCAGCATCGCGTCCCAATCCGCCACCCACTCGTAACCGCTACCCACCCTGTCCTTACATCATCAAGATGGGACCCCGTGCGGGTCAGGTGTGCGGCTGCACCAATCACCCGCTCGCCACCTGCTTCAAGAAAAAGGACGACGACTGGTTCGCCAAGAATGGTATCAACTCCAAGCAGCCCAACTGGCTTCGCATGCGCCAGCTAAACCATGTTGAGGCACAGGATAGTCAGGACTCAGCCATTCATGCCCCTAGTCCTAATGTTCGTGTCTACCTGTTGTTCCCTGGCCTTCCCATGATCAATGAAACCAGTTCCCAGTACTCGGCGTCTCCACAAACACCATCTAAACCACTTGAATTCGTGCTAGATAGTGGCGCGACCCACACAGTCCTCCGAGACAAAAAATCCTTCAAACCATACCAAGCACCCATTCCTCTCCTGGGTGCTGACTCCAGCTTCACAACTGTCGCCCATGGTTCCTCCACTCTTCCATGCCCAGCCTTCCCATCTGGCACAGTCACTGGCATATGCGTGCCCACTCTTCAGCACAACCTACTTGCACAACATTCAAAGAGCAGGGGTAACCACTATCTTCCCAACACATTCTAATCATTGTGATCTCCTTGAGCCCACCAACAATGCCCTCCTTGCACGTTTCACAATGACCGCCAACAACCTCTACACACTTCAAGTACCTCTTTCTTCTGCTGAAGCACACTCTACCTCCACCACATCATCGTGCTCCTGCCGCCAGCTCATCGAGCCAACCATTCTTTACCACCATCGTCTCGGGCATCCCAACTTCCGCATGCTTTCCGAGCTTGCGTCTAAGAAGTTGCTTCTTCACCTGCCCGACACACTTCCTCCACCCTCCACTTCTCCCACTCCTCCATGCTTGGACTGCACGTAAAGCAAACAACGCCAGTTGCCTCACCCTTCCTCGCCCTCTGCTGCAGCCGCCCCGCTTGACCTCGTCCACATGGACGTCTGAGCCCGGCTCCAGTACGCTCTCGTGGTGGGCACTCTTCCTTCCTAGTGCTCGTTGACAATCACTCTCTCTATGCGTCCGTCCACCTACTCTCCTCCAAAGCAGCTGTTCCGGATGTCGTCATCGCATGGGTTCGACAAGCCCTGAATCATTTCCGCACATCAGTCAAGTGCTTCCCTTCCGATGGCGGTGGCGAATTTCGAAATCATTCCCTTCAAGCGTTCTGTTCCTCCCAAGGCATTCGCCAGACCTTCACCCTTCCCCACAGTCCGCAGCAGAATGGCATTGCCGAAAGGCGCAATCGCACTCTCGTGCAAATCGCTCGCTGTCTTCTCACTCACGCTGGTGCACCACCTTCCTTTTGGAGTTACGTCCTCCTCCATGCCACGCTGATGTACAACCTTCACCCTCACCCTCTTCGGCCTGACATCACTCCCGCCGAACTATGGACCGGCACCAAGCCCAGTGCACGTCCTCTCCACGTATGGGGGTGTACCGCTTATGTCCTCCTCAGCCCTCAGGAACGTCGCACCCATGGCGGCAAATTTGCACCAAAAACTCAACCCTGTGTCTATCTCGGCCACAACCTCGACTCTCCCGACTATCTTTTCCTCAATCCCTCTACCAATCAGCTCATTCACAGCCGCGATGTCGCCTTTGACGAGAGTCGCCCTTTTTACCTCTCTTCACCACCCCCCACCGCTCCACCTTCACTTGTCTGGGCCGATTTCGATACTTCACCCTCTCCACCTCCTCTCTCTGTCGCTCCTCCTGCGGCCCCCTCACTCTCGCCTCCCCCATTTCCTTCCACTCTCTCTCACCCCCCTTCGCCCACTGGCTCAACTGCCCGTTCACCTCCGCCCGCGCCTGCATTTCCCCTGCACCCGCTCCTGCAGCCACCCCTCCACCTCCCTCTCCTTCTGCGCCTCCACCTGCCCCCGCACCTCCATCCCCGCCTTCACCTCCGCTTCCGCCTCCAACCTCCACCTCTTCTCCCGATCCGCCCGTCACCTATCGTCGCCGCTGCCACGGACTCTTTTATGTCGACGTTCCACCTCCTCCCCCGCCACCTCCATCCTCTCCTGTCTCTATTGCTCACCGTACCCGCTCTCATAGTCCCGCTCCGCCTCTCGCCCTCTCTGTTCACATCTCCCTCAATCCGCCTCCTCCTGCCGAGGGTGCATCCATGCTTGGCCTCTTGGAGGATAGGCATGAGGAGCTGATTGAGATCAGATGCCATCCGTCAGCTCTGCCATCTCTTCCCCGATCTTGCCAACGCTCCAACTCTCAACTTCTCAAAAAATCCATCCATCCCGACCCCGAACTCGTATAATGAGGCCATCTCTGGACCACACTCCCCTCAGCTGCCTGGCGAACTCCCAGTCTTCAAGGCGCGATACTGTGCAAAAGGCTTCACGCAGAAGAAGGGCCTGGACTTCTTCGTCACATTCTCTCCGACAGCCAAACTGCCCACTCTACGGACCCTGCTGGACATCGCTGCTCGATGCGACTTTGACGTTCACTCCATGGACGTCTCTGCTACATTTCTCCAAGGGGATCTTTCGGAGGACATCTACATGGAATCTCCTCAAGGATTTCCCTTACCCTTTCCACCCGGCACGGTCTGGAAGCTGAGTCGACCAGTCTACGGGTTGAAGCAGGCTCCTCGGACATGGCACAAGAAGCTGAAGGCAACCCTCGAGTCACTCAACTTCCACCCCTCCTCAGCCGATCCGAGTCTCTTCATTCGCAAGAACGAGAACCCGTTCTTCATTCTCATCTACGTTGACGATATGATTCTCGTCTCCAAGGATTCCGATTAGCTGGCAGCTGTTAAGCAAGCTCTTGGGAACGCTCTCGCCATGAAGGACCTCGGGGAACTCAAGAACTACCTTGGGATGGAAATCTCGCGGGATCACGAACCTCGCACCATCACTCTCTCAGAAGAGATCAATGTGAACAACGTCCTCAAACGTTTTGCCATGGACAACGCCAAGCCAGTGGCCACTCCCCTTCCCTTGCAGCATGATCTGACCGCTCCATCAGTTCCATCGCCTGAGCCTTGTGATGAGGCATACCCCGAGCTCGTCGGATCACTCATGTATGCGATGATGTGCACAAGACCCGACCTCGCCTACCCCATCAGTGTGCTCTCGCGTTACGTTGCTGCCGGTCGATATCCAAATCGCCATTGGTCGGCTGCTAAGCGCGTCCTTCGCTACCTCCAAGCCACCAAGGACTACGTCTTCACTCTCGGTGGCACGACCCCTCCTCACCTCGAGGGATACAGCGACTCCTCATGGGCTGATGATCAAGCTGACCGCCGCTCTTCCCAAGGCTATTGCTTCACCCTTGGCAGTGGTGTCATGAAGCTGAGCTATACGCAGGCACCATGGCAGCCCAAGAAGCTCGATGGCTTACCTACCTCATGGCTGAGCTCGAGTATCCTCAGCAGACCCTGACCCTGTGGTGTGATAACGAGAGCACCATCCACCTCACCAAAGACCCTGTCTTCCACCAACGGACCAAGCATATCGAATTGAGACACTTCATCATGCGCGAGCTCGTCCAGCGAGGGCAGTTGTGCGTCAAGCATATTTCCTCTGACTGCAACCTCGCCGACTTGTTTACGAAGGCTCTTGGACGCCGTGATCACTATCGTCTCCTCCGTACCATGGGACTTGGCGTCCCTTCGGCTTCCGACGTTGCAGCCTAGGGGGTGTGTTAGAGATAGGCTGCAATTCGGTCGGCACAACTTTGTGTGTTGGCACTTTGTTGGTTTTAGGGATACGCATATAGGTTAGGTTGGGTGTAGCTATGTTTTCATCCCCAACTTATCCCAACCCAATCTATCCCAAATCCCCACGATTTGGGAGGATTCCCTTGGGATTCCCTCCGATTCTCCCTTATCCCTTCTCATCCTCTCCGATGCTAGGTACTTAAGGATGTCTGCTCTTGCTCATTCTATCAATGAAGTTCTCAGTCTTAGATAACGCAAACACCTCCCCTCCCCACCCCCTCTCCCTAACACCACCCCCCAATTCCTCCATAACCCCACATCCCCTGTTTCCTCTCCCTTGAGTCCCAGCCGTCTGCTCACCTGCTCTTTGACTGTGAGCACAGCCACGTGGATGTTCCTCTCAAAACCAGCGAATGGATGTTTGAGACGTCTCAAAACAAAATTGCAATCACCCGCTTGAGTCCCAGCCGCCTGCTCACCTGCTCTTTGACTGTGAGCACGGCCACGTGGATGTTTCTCTGCGGGCAATGCCCCACCAGCGAGTGGATGTACGAGTCTGCATGGAGGAGGGCGAGGCGAGGGCAATCCCAAGAACGAGAAGCAGGGATGGTGAGAGGAGAGAATGGAGGAAGAGGGACGGGTGCACCAGTGTGCACCAGTGCGCACCAGTGTGCACCAGTGTGCACCAGTGCGCACCAGTGCGCACCAGTGTGCACCAGTGCTCCAGTGCCCCAATGCACTAGAGGGTCCCGGGAGGTAGTGGAGAGAAGGGAACAGAACGCAAACAGGAGTATTGGAACAGGGGAGCAGCCAGGAATCTAGGGAAGAGGCATATGACTAGGGGGGAAATAAAAAGCAGTAAGAGTCGTACTCCAAACACCTGAGGATGCAACCAAGGACATGAAGCATGGACTGTGTGAGATTTGGACCTGCAGTGCCGAGATTTCTTTTCTAGTGCAGAAAGCAGCACGCACCTCCCTTGGTGAGGCTGAGCCCATAGAGGAACGCCTCGCCCTCATTGGGCTTCTGCAGCCCTGCCAGCATGCTCAGCACTGTTGACTTGCCAGACCCGCTGTGGCCCTGTGGCAGCAACGAGATGGCGCAGCAGGGAAGCAAGGGATGGCGTTTGGGAGAAGGGGGGATTGGAGGAGGGTGGGTTGGGAGCAAGAAGGTGTGTGAGTGAGTCAAGGAATGGAAGCACGGGTTTGGGGCGTGGATGGGTTTAAAAAGGGGGCGAGGGAGGGCGTGGGGGTTGTGGGAAGGGGCAGTGGCAGTTGCAACGCGTGAGGAGGAGGAGGAGGAGGAGGAGGAGGAGGAGGAGGAGGAGGAGGAGGAGGAGGAGGAGGAGGAGGAGGAGGAGGAGGAGGAGGAGGAGGAGGAGGAGGAGGAGGAGGAGGAGGAGGAGGAGGAGGAGGAGGAGGAGGAGGAGGAGGAGACAGCAACTGCAAGCACTGGCAAGCAAGGGAGGCATGTGAGACCTACCAGGAAGGCGAACGATTGGCCTTCGTAGAGCGTGAGGGAGAGGCCCTGGAGTGCAAGCACCCTGCGCTCGTCCCCATGCCCACTGCTCCCACCAGCACCACCAGCACCACCAGCACCATCAGCACCATCAGTACCATCAGCAGCAGCAGCACTATCACCATCAACCGTGGCAGCAGATGCTCTACGAGTGCGAGAGGTGAAGAAGGAGGCGAAGGAGGAGAGGCAGGAGGAGGAGGACGCGGAGGAGGAGTGGAGGCCGCGTGGACGGAAGGACTTGGAGAGGTGATTGATCAGCAGGGCGGGGCGGAAGCCACGCACGTCCTCTATGGCGGAGTCTAGATGGGGGGAGGGGGGAGGGGAGAGGGGGATGGGGGAAGGCGGAAGGGGGAACGGGGAGGAACGGTGTGGGGGAGGGGGAGTGTGTACGGAATGGTACAGAGTGAGTGGGGGGAGTGACAGTGAAGGGAGAAAACGAGAGGGTGGGGCAGCCAGGGAGCACGCATGCAGGGCACGAGGGGACGGGCAGGATAGTGCAGGAAAGGGATCTGGCAGGCAGGAGCGGGGGGGTGAAGAGTGAAGAAGAGAAGAGAAGCGAAGGTAGTACCGGCATTGTGAGAAGACATTGCAGCAGGGAGAGGTGCGGAGGTGGTGGAGTGCAAGGGAGCAGCGGAGTCTTGGCCCACGTCCAACCTGCACTCCTCACCCTCATGCTCCGTGTCATCGCCCCCTCCCTCCTCCCCCTGTCACATCACCCAACCAACCATGCCACACATGCCCCATGCCAGCAAACAAGCATGCCATTGCCACACACATACGTACAAGCATTTCAAGCACGCCACATGCATGCAGGCGTGTACAACATGCCACCAACACATGGACATGCGTCCCCCCACCACATGCCATGCCACAGGCAGCAATATGTTAGGCAATTCCAACATCCACATGCAGCCAACGCCATCCCACAGGCCACAGTCAAGCAATGCCATGCAATGCTGTGCAATGCAACCATGTGTCAGCAACATCCGACCACATTCCAATACAGCAAGAGACCGGAAATGGAGCTGACAACCCAGCATGGAAGACTAGGTATTCAGAGAGGGGGTTGGATTGGACAGCAAGGAGGAGAGGAGGGGATGACGTCACAGAAGAGGCTCGTGCCTCCAAAAGGGCCACGAGGAGAACAGAGTGCAAGAGCTGACGGCTTATGAGGCGCCTCAGATGGGAGTGGTGCGAGGGGTACAAGGAGGCCCGGAGGAAGCGGGCCCTGGGAGGGAGCACGTGAGGGCCGGGGGTGCCTACCAGTTGGGTGTAGCGCAGGGCATGGCGGGCGGGGAACCAGTAGGCGGCGGAAAAGACAAAGTTGGCGGGCTTCTTAGGGCCTCGCTGAGGGTGAGGCCACACGTTGTCAAGGTACCTGCACATGGGGGAATGTGCATGCACACGTGCACGGGATGGGATGGCATGGTTAAACGGTACGGGTGTGGCACAGGGAGAGCACAGAATGCATCGGGCATGGGCATTGGGAGCTGAGGCATGGATGGAAAGCATGGGGGTGAAGGTGAAAGTACGCATGCAGCATGGGGATGGGGCCCACCCGTGGCATGGAGCATGGGTGGTGAGGGTTGCATCACATTCAATTCAAGAGGTGCTCTGATGAGGCGGATAGACCCAATGGCATGAAGGAGGATGAAGCTGCGGTTTATCAGCCAGCCAAGCGGCAGCGCAAGGGATTTGCTGTACACTGACCAAGCGAGGAAGAGGTAGAGGGCAGTGTCGAAGATAAAGCTGAAGATGCACGCGCCAATGGTGATGATGTTGTCGTCGTCCCCTGGGTTCACTCCCACTCGCTGGACGGAGAGAAGGGAGGCGGGGGGAAGGGAGAAGTGGTGGTGTGGGGGAAGGAAGGGGGGAGGGGGGGGTGTTGGGCTGGGGGTCATGGCATGTCCATGTCAGAGCAGCATGGAACTAGAATGCGGAGCTAGAAGGGAAGGGGAGTGGTTGAGAGGACTGCAAGTACGGGTCAATTCGGGGGGATGGAGATTGGAATCGGGACGGGATGGAGTGGGAGGGAACGGATGAGAGAACGGTGCGGCAAGGACGGGTTGAATTGACAGGTGCAAAAGCTCATGCAAAAGGCAAACGGAAGAAACGCAAGGAAGGGGAAGGGGAAGCAAGGGGGAAGGAAGGAGGCGTGTTTCTCACGGGAAGCCAGAAGGAGGAGAGCGAGACACCCTGCCCCATGCCCTCGGCGCGGGTGACGGTGGTGATGGCGATGGTAAAGGGCACGGGCGAGAGCAGCAGCAGCGGGTACACGTAGGCTGCACCGAGGGACAGCAGCTGTATGGGAATCACCAGCAGGCTGCACAGCAGCAGACTGCCCGCTGCCGCCGCCGCTGCCTTGCCCACCTGGCACGGTGGGGGGAAAGGGAGACGGGAGGGGGAGAGGGGGGGAGAGAGGGACGGAGGAAGAGGGTGGCAAGAAGGCAGTTACAGAGAGATTGACGCCGGAAATCAAATGGAAGAGTGGGGAAGCTGGGTGAGGGAGATCAGGGGCACAGGGGATTAACAAGGGCTAGATTTGGTGCATGTGTCAAGTGGTTCTGAAGCAGGCAGGCCGCAGGACACACAAGGGAGAACGCAGACTCGGGTGTGTAACGTGTTGTGTGTGGCTGTTACCTGGGTGAAGAGAGTGCTGAGGGCGAAGGCGAGGGCGATGAGGGAGAGGGAGTACGGGAAGATGATGCAGAAGAGAGCCACGAAGGTGGATGCGGAGAAGAGCGACGTCAGCTTCACTGTCAAGGACTGCGCGCGCGCACACACACGCAGACACGCACATGCACACGCACACGCACATGCACACGCACACGCACGCGCACATGCACACGCACGGGCACACGCACACGCACGCGCGCGCGCACACACACACAACGCACACAGACACACACAGAAGAGAATGAGGCGGAAGGGAGGGCATGGCATCAACTGGAACGAGAGAAGGGAAGGGATGGTGAGAGAATCTCCTGGCTTGTTAGAACAAAATCATGGCAATAGCAGGGGCGTGCAGTGGTAGCAGCACAGGGGGCGTGCAGTGGCAGCACAGGGGGCGTGCAGTGGCAGTGGCGGAGAGCTTACAATGACAGCGGATGTGATGACAGCCATGAAGGCATACGTCAGCAGCCACGCCAGCCAGTACACGGACTCGCGCAGCCCCATCAGCAGCATGCAGTCCTGGCGCCGGGCGGGCGGGGGAAAGGCGTGGGGAGTTGAGAAGAAAGGAAGGAGAATGAAGGAGGAGCAGTGTTTTGAGACGTCCCAGTACACGGAATCGCGCAGCCCCATCAGCAGCATGCAGTCCTGCTGGGGACAACACGGGACAGGCAAGGCTGAGCGAGGCAATGCAACGGACGGGTGTTATACGACGAAAATCAGGCCGGTGGGTGGGGGATACCAGCATGCACGCGAGTAGGCAAACAGGCGCAATCAATCACAACGGGGGGGGGAGTGGCGGAGGGAGAGGAGGGGGGGAGAAAGGAAAAACTTTTGGCCGAGATGCAGAATCACGAGTCATGAGTCCTGAAGGAGCAACAAGGGGGGGGGACTACAGTGCAGGAAACTCCCTTGCTCGCCCCCGCCTTCCTCCATTAAGTCCCTCTCTCGTTCGTCCCCTCGGCCCTTGTTGTTCGTCTCTGCATATCCAGGCTCTCACGCAGGGTCCCCTCCCCCTCCCCCTCACCTTGAGCAGGCTCTCCTTCTCCTGCACGATCTGCGTGATGGCGACCTGCAGCATGGGGATGAGTGACAGCACCATGTAGATGGCACAGAACAGCTGGAACTCCGTCGTTGCGAACGACCTGGCAGGTACGGAGGGGGAGGGGCGGGGGGAGGGGGGAGTGGAGGAGACTATAGTGGACGGAGGGAGGGGATTGTTTGGTGGAAGGTGACACGGGGGGTTGAGGGAGTGGGTGGATGAACGAGAGAGAGCACCAGGACGAGGGGGTGGAGACACGCTGGAGCTCCATGGTGGCAAAGGACCTGGGGGAGTACGGAAGGGGGCGAGAGGAGAGGAGTGGAGGAGAATACAGAACAGAGGAAGGAAGGAAGTGGCAGCGGGAGGAGAAGACGAGGTTGAACATATGCGTGCATGCATGCTTTGCATCAGCTGCAGCAGCAACAGGGGCCACGACAGCACGCCTGGCAGCAGAATCAGTTGAACCGGCAGCAACAGCGGCAGCCCAACAGGCAGGCAGGCAAGCAGAGAGAGAGGCATGTGGACAGGTGGGCATGCGGCCAGATGGGCAGGTGGGGCAGGCAGCATACTTGTGCAGTTCGGGGAGCGGCATGTGCTGCTCGTGCACAGTAATGGGGCTGCTCTGCATGCCACATGACGTCCCATTCCACGCCGTCTCCATCAGCGCTGACGTCACTGCCAGCTGCACCGACAGGAACCCTGTTCAGTGGAGAGAAGGGACAGCAAAGCGAGAGAAAGAGAAGAAACAGGAGAGAGGGAAGCTGCTCAATCAGTTTCAGCAGCGGTGGTCGGTCACCCTCCAGCGCGGGCAGGCAGGCCCTCTCGTACCTCGGCAAGGTGAACGAAGCCTCCCCACTCGAGGGACCCGTTCTTGGGGCGCCGGACGAAGGCATGTCCCTCGGGGACTGCTTCGTCATTTTGGAGCCCACAGGGGAGCTAGCGTAGGCTAGCAAGGGGGGGGGGAGGGGTTTAGGGTGTATGCTTATACCCAGCCCACTTGCCTGGCGTACACAGACTTCTAATGAATACTAAGGACCGCTTGGGAAACTGTAAAGCGAGGGGATGTACTGAGCAGTGAGCAGGGAGTTAGGCGGAGGCGAGCTGCCATTTCACCCTGTGCGACCTACACTGCAAGCGAGCCAGGTGCGTGCAGTCGAATTGGTGGTGGGCGTGGGCGTGGGCGTTGTTAGAGAAGCAGCGCGTAGCGAAGAAAACATGAAAGCGCTACATGCGCTGAGCTACAACAAAACAGCACACGCCAAAGACGCGGACTAGTCTTCTGCCGGGTCGGATTGGAGAGAGAGAGGCAAACGGGCGAGTTGAGGGGGAAGCGCTGACGCATGCAAGAAAAGCGGCCACCCAGCAATAAGCCCGTCGGATTGGCTTTTGAGTCGACTCAAAAGTCAGCAAGAAAAGCGGCCACCCAGACTTTTGAGTCGACTCAAAAGGGGAAGCGCTGATGCATGCAAGAAAAGCGGCCACCCAGCAATAAGCCCGTCGGATTGGACAGAGAGGCAGACGGCGGACGCGAGGTGAGGTGAGTTAGATGCAGGTTCAATCACCTCCGTGAGCACTTGGTCGATACAGCGCGTCCTTTTCGGTTTTGTTAACACAAGGGGCTGAGAGGAACGAGAAGGAACGAGAGAGGCGATGCTGCTGGCGAGGTGGATGGATGGATGGCATCAGTGTGCGTGTGGTGGGGCAGCATGGCATGGTACTGATCGATGCCACAGAGACTTGGCCCGCCATGAGTCCAGAACAAGCTGCTCAGTTCCCTGCCCTGCAACACCCAATGCTCACTCTATTCCTTGCCATGCCACCCCAGCCCATCCCGCCCACAAACCCCCGCCCCCCCTCCCCCCCCCTTCTCCCTCCCCCCCTTCCCATTCCAAACCCTGACCCTGGGAATGAGGAAGGAAAGGAAGGAGAGGGGAGCGCAAGGTACCTGAGGAGAGGTACTGCTGCGAGCGGCATATGGAGGGGATGTACTCCGCTGCTGCCAGGCGACACTCATCCCTGCTCGCCCGCTCACTAGACGTGCCCGGCACCTGACTGCCTGCACGTTGGAGGTTTGGGAGCAAGGCGACGGGCGGGAGGAGGGCAGGAGGACGGGGGAGGGGGGAGCGGGGAGGGTGGAGGGTGGATAGGGAAGGGTGGATAGGGGAGGGTGGATAGGGGAGGGTGGACATGGGAGCGTGACAGGGGAGAAGAAGAGCAGAAGAGCAGAAGGGTGGAGATGGTGCGTAGGAATACGTCGTGCTTGTGCGTAGGAGAAGAGGGTTCGACAGAAGTACGGCGGAAGGGATAACGGGAGGGGGAAAGAACGCTGGAGTTGATGTGGAACGGGTGACGAGGACAAGGGATGCAGGCAGGTGAAAGAAAAGCAGGGGAGGAACGCTGGAGGAGGAGGAGGAGGAGGAGGAGGAGGAGGAGGAGGAGGAGGAGGAGGAGGAGGAGGAGGAGGAGGAGGAGGAGGAGGAGGAGGAGGAGGAGGAGGAGGAGGAGGAGGAGGAGGAGGAGGAGGAGGGGGAGGAGGAGGAGGAGGAGGAGGAGGAGGAGGAGGAGGAGGAGGAGGAGGAGGAGGAGGAGGAGGAGGAGGAGGAGGAGGAGGAGGAGGAGGAGGAGGAGGGGGGGGGGAAGTGGGAGGGCGTGAGGAGAAGTTGTGTGGAGGAAGGAGGGAGTGTACCGTTGATGCGGATGGTGAAGCGAGTGTCTGGAGGCAGGGCGACAGCGTCTGGACCCATGTCCTCAAACTCCACTGCTGCGAACAACGCCTGGCGTGCGATGGTGTGCAATGGGGTGGGATGGTGTGGGATGGTGTGGGATGGTGTGGGATGGTGTTGGATGGTGTTGGATGGCGTTGTTGACCGGTGGGGAGGCACATGATGACACACGATGGAATGGGACCGTGGCACGGCATGCAATGGGTATGGGATGGATGAATGCGATCAGTCATACATGGGGTCACGGAATTCACAGGGACAGGGAACGCACGGAGCACCATTGAGCAGGCACCACATTGAGACGACGGTGGGTAGAGAAACGAGACGTGAGGGGAGCTACAGAACCAGTGAGATGAGTCTAAGGAGAAGCGATAGGAAGTAACGACAGTGCTGGCTAGCTGGCTTGCTGCGTTGCTGGCTAGCTGGCTTGCTGCGTTGCTGGCTAGCTGGCTTGCTGCGTTGCTGCGTTGCTGGGTTGCTGGGTTGCTGTGTTACTGCGGTGCTGCGGTGCTGCGGTGCTGGCTTACCTGGGGGTGCGCGTAGTGGAACTCTGAGAGCTCCTGCTTGGACTCAAAAGCCTCCAGCACCAGGGTGGACAGGCGAGGGTGGCTGGCACCGCACAGGGGGGCGCACAGGGGGGGCATTAAAGGGGGGGCATACAGGGAGCACACAGGGGGGCATTAAAGGGGGCATACAGGGGAGAACACAGGGGGAGTAGAGAGTGCAAGTGGTGGGCATTGGGCGCGGATGGACAGGGTTAGATCCCAAGCACTAGCAGGGGCGTGTGATGGTAGCGTGCATTGACATGCGTAGGGCCATTCGTATGGGCATGGGCATGGGCATGGGCATGGCAGGGGCAAGGTGCAGGGAGAGAGGCTTACTTCCTGGCGAGGTTGAGCACGGCTCTGTCCATGACGCTGCGGACGAGAGGGTTGTCCGGGATGTACCCGATCTGAGGCCACACGCAGGCGAGAAGAGGAAACGGATGGCGGAGGGGTAGGAAGAGGGAAGACGAATGCATGCACACGTCTTTGCTGTGCAACGGAGAGAGGCAGCAGCAGCAGCAGCAGCAGCAGCAGCAGCAGCAGCAGCAGAAGCAGTGGCGGCGGCGGCGGGGGCGCAAACAACAAGTGATCCCATGCTCACAGTGGTGGCGGCGTCGACGTTTCGGACGGGGTAGCATCTGGTGCGCGCGTCAGCGGCGTAGCACATGGGGTCCACCACATCGCCCACCGGCTCCGTGGGAAACGTGGCGTCCGGCTGCAGCACCTTCACTATGATCAGCAGCACGATGATGTACACCTGGGCGGGGGGGGTGGGGGGGAGGAGGGCGGGGGAGGAGAGGAGGAGGGAGGGGGGAGCATGGTTACTGAGGCGCCTCAAAAGAAGGTGGCGTTCGGCTGCAGCACCTTCACTGTGATCAGCGGCACGATGATGTACACCTGGAGGAGAGGGGGGGGGGGGGTGTTGGGGGGGGGCACACTCAAAAGCGATAGGACGATAGGACGACATAAAGCGACTCCTCACACGCTTACAAAAGGGAAATGATCAGCGGATCTTTGACTAGAAACACAACATAGTCCCGATTATCTCGTACGACTAGCCCTCACGAATGCTGTTCCAAGGATCCACGCGTGCATCCGATAAGCCCAATGTGAAACACCAAGGACAGAGTCGAAATCGGAAGCATGTTGCCAAGCAACATGTCGTAAAAAACGACGCCATTCTCAATTGAGAAAAAACTAAACAATGAATCCACCACAATGCTCTACCAGCACCATTCCGCGAGTCCCATCGTCCAGTTCCGCAAATCCCGCGCCCCTGAATCTCCGAATTTCCGGGCAGGCAGCGAGACGAGACAATCCGATTCCTCGCGTTCACGCTCACCGGGAGGAAGATCTCCTGCAGCGTCTGCGAGCCGTCACGCCATTTGATGAGCAGGTTGCGCCGAAGGGTGGCTCGGAACTGCTTCGCCCACGACGCCGCCATGCTGACTGCGAGTCACCGCCTCACGCGGCAAACCGGAGAGCGGACAGCGGACAGCGGACTGCGGCTAGAGCTCGAAACGCGGGGTTCCTCCTGGTCCTTGTGCCGTTTGATGCGTGCTGAAATGATGCGTGCTGGTTTTCCTTCTCCTAACAGATTCGCCTATTTGAATTCCTCTTTGAAGTAAGATCCGTCGCAGCTGCCGCCAATAACATGACGCTCTGACACGGGAAATGATAGTCGCGTACTGAGAGTCTAGCACGGCTGAAACCGCTGATCAAACCACGGCCGAAACCACGGCTGAAACCCTCTTCCCCGTCGATCACTTGGCAATCCCAGCGCCAGTGGAATCAGGGAGGAACGGCGACAGAAACAGAGCGAAAGAGAATGAATCTGACGGAAAATGGAAGGATCAAGCTCGCAGAAATTCGACCCTCACAGCTCCAGAATCCGTTCCAGAATCCGCAGGAATCCACCCTCCCTTACCCTTCACACCTGCGATCCCACCAGCATCTGAAGCGCCGTTGCTCTCTATGCAATGGCCTACGCGATTTCAAGACCGATGGAAAGGCAGCCTGCGTCCAGACCAGACAGGCTGATCTGCAAATGGATGAAGAGGAGAGACGAATGTTGAGGAAGGAGAGGCCAATGTTGTGATTGTGTGTATGGTGAAGCAGAATCCGATGTTGAGGTGAGGGAGGGGACGGTGGACCTGACCAGGAAAGGCCTCGCAGAGGGAAGGTGTTTGTTCGCATTAGTGTGAACTTCACTATCACTGCTCATGAAGAGCACTCACAAATATCAGCATATTTTCTACTCCCATGTTCTGCTTTTGCTATTCATTCGACTCTTGATGTTTCATTTATGGCTTCTAGCAACGAAAAACTCCTTTTGGGAAAATATAACGGAATAAAATGTCATAAATTTCGCATTCGTATTCCTTGTGAACTACATTATATGGTGCCACCTTCGTGTTTTGATTATTAGTATTAATCTGCATATATTATCTATATCTCGTTAAATTATTCGCTTTGATTTCGATATTTTGTTTCCATCATGGAGCTAGTTGTGTGGATTTTACATGGTCCTTGCTCTTGAAGTGCCCATAAAATATAGAATGTGGCTAGTTTCTAGAGAAGGTGATGTGTTTCCGTTTGCACTTTGACCTTTGATTATGAATAGCGGGTATGATGCTTCTACTTGTTGTCAGGTCCGAGTAGAGCGGGAATTTTCGAGTTCTGCGCGGCTCGTCGGGAGGTGTGATTCTGGAACAGCCAGACAGCCAAAAAGGCTTCTCCAGCCATTCCATCCTCGCGCATCTCAAGGTGACCTCTCTATTGCTCGTCCTCGTGTCCTTAGCGTGAGCATGTAAACTAGTTCACCTTGTCCTTGCGTTTGCAGCTTGCCGGAAGATATTCTAGAATCTTTTCGCGTGACAGTATGGCAGCCGTTAAGTCGCACATGACGCCACACACAACCAGCTCATCAGTTTCCGGAGCGAGTTCAACCTACTTTCGCGATACCAGCTTGAAGTTCGAGTTCAGGAGCCTTCGCTCGCATGCACCGCCTGGCGTCTACGTTGCTCCAGCAGCGGGAATGCCGCTGACGTGGAAGGGTGTCGTCTTCGTCTGTCAATGCGCGAGCGTCGTGGATACGCTAACTGGAGCTGGGCTGACTAACTACATGGGAGAACAGATTAGCGACCGCCCTGACGTAGTTGCAGGCTCGCAGGACGAGGTGAAAGGCGAGCAGCATAAAACGGATACCTCCATGGGCTCGAAGATGGAAATTCAGGGAAGTGCCAGCTCAATCGGGTACAGCGGATGGTACGAGGGCGGGATCTTCGAGTTCCGCATCTCCTTCCCCAACGACTACCCGCGATCGCCTCCGCAACTGCGCTTCGACCCTCCGGTGCTTCATCCGCAAATCGCGGCGGACGGCCTGCTCGTGCTCGACGGCGTGCTTTCACTGCAGGAAAAGCGGACCCCGCAGACCCCGCAGACCACGTCAGGCGGCAAGGGAGGAGGAACCAGCGGTGGCCACGTCATCCCGCTGCTGTTCCACGTTCACCGCATGTTCCAAACCCTCCGTCCGTGGGCCCCCAACTTGACTCCCCTTCCACCGGTGGATGGCCCGCAAGCAAGTTCCGCCATCATCGCGCGCGTGGAGAGCGGCGGAGGGCCCGCGGGAGAGGGTCATGCGTGGCGGGGTGGAGCGGAGGGGCCGCTGGTAGGTGCGAAGGGAAACGCGGCGGCAGTGGGGAATCCCGCCGCTGCAGCAATGCTAGCGCACGCGCGAGACGACCTGTACGCTGCAGTGCGCCGGTGCGTGGCTAGCTCCGTGAAACGCGCCGAGACTCAGGCTCGGATACGAGCGGGATTCTGGGAGACGGGTAGGGAGGAGGCGAGCGGCGGGGGCAGGGCAGCCCAGGAGCAGCGGTGCGCGGAGCAGCAGGCGCAGAAGGAGGAGATGGTTCAGCGCGTGTTGGCGGGTGAGCGAGGCCGTGACCTGTGGCAGAGTGTGCTGCTGACCAAGTGATTATGACGAAGAGGGGTTGGCGATAGGAATTCGATACAGGTACCTGAAATTCGAGAGTGAAGATTACTCTATTCATGCCAAATGTATTTACTCCTTCCTAAGGCGTTATCCTTCCCCCTTACTCCAACACGTTTCCCAATGGTCAATTCTGGGAAACTGTTACATACGCGTGCACCCGTTCGTATCTTATGAAAGGGATTCAAGCCAACCAAAACTGAAACAAAGCATAAAAAACAATGGAAACCCAAGTTGTGATCGATCATTTTACATGCTAAATTACAAAACAAAGCAAAGGGTATTGACCTCGGTTAGGTAGGGCTTGCCAGCCGTATGAAGGAGAGGGGGGGCACACGCCATGTGGCACACCATTTAGTGCACCATACAGCAGTAGGAGCACGCTACCCCAGCTCAGTATAGGCCCGTTGGCAGCAGCAGAACGGAGCCTGCAGTGCAGCTCATGGCTGCGAGGTGAGGTGACAAGCTGTTGGCAGCACAGGCAGGGAGCGAAAGAGTAAGTCGCAACTCTCAAGGCTGTTGGCTGCTCAGCAGTACAATTGTGGCTGACAGACTGGCCAGCAGTGTAGATGTGGCGGTTGGGGTCTGTGCAGAGCAGACACCCAAGTGAAAGGCCTGTTAGTGTCCTTGTCTCTCTAGCCTGGGAGACAGGGTCGGTTGGAGATGACTGAGAGAAGAAGCCCTCAAATGGCTGAAGGCGGCTCTCAAGGGAAGTACACAGCAGGGACTCTAGATTCGGGCCCACGTGCTGTTCCAAGTGTGGTAGTATCGGCAGCGGGTTGATGGTGTATGGAGGCATGGTTGGTCCCATGAGGAGCCTTAGAGGGCACACCAGTCCAGATCCTGCACGCCACAGAGAAGCAGGTCATGACAGGACAAGGTCAGGACAAGGTCAGGACAAGGTCAGGACAAGGTCTTCCAGATGCGCATACATGCCGATGGGTGCAAACCCACGTTAAAACACATATGCAAAGCGCAACACTGCAAGAGAAGAGGGCACAGTGATGCAGATATACCTCAGGAAGTGCGGAGCTCCGTGGCTTGAATGCTTTCCGTCTATTCCTCCTGCCGCTGCCGCCAGTGCCTCCCATGGGTGAAGGGGCCAGGGGACTGCCAATGCTCGTGCACGGGCTGCTGCTGCTGGGTGTTGTTGCAGGTTGAATGCCCTCCTCCTCCTCCATGTGTACGTTGTCCTCCTCGTCCTCCTCCACCTCCTCCACTTTGCTTCGCTGCAGGAGCTTACTTGCAAGCAGCGGTGTGCAGCCAAGAACGGTGGAGGTAGCAGCCGCAGCCACAGCCACAGAACCAACGGCAGATGCTGAATCCAAACCATTTGGCCGGTGTGTGGCGACAGGAGTACCGGCACCACCACCACCACCACCACCACCACCACTACCAGCAGCAGCAGCAGGCACATCAGGGAGGGAGATGTGAGGCAGCCGCAGCAGCTGAACCCCGAAGCTCCTGGCAGTCGGCCCTGGCCTAGCCGTGGCTGCTCCATTCGTGGGAGAGCACAGTGCAGTGGAGGAGAGGTTACTGCGAGAATGGGCACCCTGCTGAGGGGTCACCGGACCAGCAAGGGACTTGGGGGATCGCACAACAACCCCCTCCTGCCTTACTGCCCCTCCTGTCTTCCAGTGCGCCTCCCCTTCATCCATCTCTGTGCCCTCATCCCTCTTCCCTGACTTGCTCTCTTCCACAAGGGAAGGGAGGATGCGGCTGGTGGGGGTGAGAGTGGGTCGTCGGTGCAGCAGCATGGGAGCATGTATGCCGGTGCTGGGCTGAGGAGTGCAGGGCGCACAGGGCGCACAGGGCGCACAGGGCGCACAGGGCGCCGTGATGCTGCCAGCCACTACTGCCGATGTTGTTGCTGCAGCTGTCGCTACTGCTGATGTTCCGCTCTGCTCCTTGAATTCTGGGCTGCGACTCAGCAGCTCACCTCCCCTCTGCTCACACTTATCCCCCTCGACCACCTCCGCCTCCTCCCTCTGCTCACCCCCCATCCTATCCGCCTGCGCAGGTGCAGCGACAGCGTCGCAGCCCATGGGCGCGGCAGACGCGGGGAGCGAGAGCGAGGAGAGGGGCTTGAAGGGAGAGCCGTTGAGGGAGAGCCAGGACGGGGAGGGGATGGCTGAGGGCGCGGTGGCGGTTGATTGCATGTGGCTGGCTGGCGTGAGGTGGCACATGGTGCTGGCCTGACCCTGTGATTTGAAACGAGACGCGGGGGCAAGAGTGGAGATTCAGTTATCCCGGGACGGTTGGGAAACGAGAGACAAGACGTAAGGGCTGGAGCCGAAGAAGGTGGGGAGCAGGGGAGGGGAGCAGGGGAGGGGAGCCGGGGAAGGGAGCTGAAGTGGGGGAAATGGAAGGCTCACCATGGCAAAAGTGCCTCCGAGGCAAGGGGACGGGAAGGCGTCCACATCCATTGCACTGCAACCAGTGTAGTGATCGCGCCTTTCATGGATATTCCGGTGCGCATCATTTGCACACTCCATACTACCGTCCGCCCCTTCGTCACCCATCTCAACGCCAGTGTCCTCCCCCTCGTCGCCCTCGTCGCCCTCTTCACTCTCGTCGTCCTCTTGGTTCTCTTCGACTTCTTCTGCTTCCGCCATGTCCACTCGTCGCCGCACCCTCCTCACATCCTCCTCCTCCTCATTCGCGTTCTCCTTCTCGTCATCTTCGTCTTCGTCTTCGTCCTCCGCATCCTCGCCATCAGCATAGTGATCACCATCAACAGCTGCGTCGGAATCCCCGTAGCACTTGCCAGCATCATCCTCATCCCCATCCTTATCTTCTTGCTCCCCCACCTCGTTGCCATTACCCTCCTCCTCCTCCTCCTCCTCCTCCTCCTCCTCCTCCTCCTCCTCCTCCTCCTCCTCCTCCTCCTCCTCCTCCTCCCTGCTGTGAAGCGCGGCTGAAGTCGTCGTTGTCCTCGCGCCACTTAGCTCCCTCTCACCACCCAACTCTCCTCTGCCTGCCGTAACGATTGCTCGGGTGGCTCCAGCTGGTGCTGATGTCAGCATAAGACGGCTGGCAGCGACGTTGGCACCCAGGGAAGATGGCAGGCAGTGGAGAGTCGCCAGCAAAGCGTCCTGCGAATGGTCAGAAATAAGATGAGATAAATAATATATGAAAAAAGAAGTGAAAAAAACAGTAGCATGAACAGGTGAAAAAGGTTGTCTGTGTTGATCCAGGAAAGAATGAAAGGACAAGGTGACTTTTGAGTCGACTCAAAAGTCACCTCGTTACAATGTCACACAACACTTTCGCTTCAAGGAAAGAATGAAAGGACAAGACCAACGTTGGTCCTTTCACATCCATCAACTATCCATCAACTATCCATCAACGACGACAAGGGTCACACGGGCAGACAGACAAGCACCCGGCGCGACTAACCTTAATCTGGGCCACGACGAAGCAATGCACGTCAGCCGTTGAATCCGACCGCCTGTGTGGCGAGTGGACGCCGGACAAGCCAGTGTCCGCCAGGAGAGCCCGAACGGCCGCAGCACACTCCTGCACTGCCTCACACGACGGACACCGCCATGCGCCAGCGGGAGCAGACACCGCAGCAGCAGCAGCAGCAGCCGGAGCAGGAGAGGCAGTAGGAGAGGCAGCAGCATGGCCGGCAGGCGCGGCAGCAGGGTCTTCCGAAAAAAGCAATGCGGGAGAGGGTGGGCGGCGGGCCAGGGGGGATCTGGGGCCGGATGGCGTGATGACGTGGCGTGGTTGGATGCAGGACATGTGGAAGTGGCGGCCGCACACTCCGGCGCAGAGCAGCAGCGGCTCGGGGGGGACTCCTGCTGTCTCTGCTGATGCCGAGGCTAATGTGGCAGCAGCAGCAGCCTTGTGCTTGCAGCGCATAGACCAGCCCTGTAAGGAAAGCATGGCAGAAGGCAGATAAAAATTTAAAGAAAAAAGCTAGTCAGATGTGTTACGGAAGCCGTCCAAGCGCTAACAGTTAGCCACGTTCGGTAAAGAATCGGCAAACTGTGCAGACGAGAAGCAAGCAGCAAGCAGCAAGATTCGCGCGAGAACAGAAGGTGCAAGGCTGGCCTGGAAGGATACCTGGAAGTCTGCTTTAGAAGACGACGAGAGAGAACTGCTCGAGCTGTTGTGCGCATGCTTAACTTTCACCTCCTCCTCCTCCTCCTCCTCCTCCTCCTTTCTATTCTCCTCTTCCTCAGTTCGATCTTGTTTAAAGCTGTGGCTGCGCCTGTGGATGTGGGTGGGCTCTGCAGATTTCTCTTCACCGCAATGGTTGCGCGCTCTGCAGTAGAGAGCGAGCTTCTCCATCAGCTCCCGCGCAACCAGCGCCGCGTGAACCGCCGCTTTTCCCGCTGTCTTGGCGCCTGAGAGCCGCGAGCTGTCAAACGTATTGCTGCAAGAAAAGGGAGTTGATAGGTGAGCGGAGCAGCCTTATATGGGCCAAGATCTAGCCTTGAAATTTAAAGCTAACCGTGACCCCCCCAAAAAAAAAACAAAAAAAAAGGAACGGACAGAAAAAGCGTTAATAAACCGGAAAAGAGCAAGTTGATAAGACTCACTCTTGCTCATTCTCGTTCTTCCCATCATCCTCATCATCCGATGCGTCACAGCACGCAGGCTCCTTCTCGCTCGCCCGCATCTTGCGGATCGTCGCCAGCTCGCGCATGACCATGGCCTTAATTCTCGCGATCTCCCCGGCGCACGACACCTTCCTCGGGCTCCTCCTCTTGCGCTTCACCCCCGCGCTCTCCACCACAAATCCCTTCTTAAAGCTCGACACCTCGAACGAATCGCACACTCCTGCAGCACCACCAGCAGCTGCAGCACCAGCAGTAGCGAATTCGGCGACAGCAGTATGGCCTTGCGATGCTGCGTGTTTCCCCCGGCCTGCGTCGCCTTCGCTGTCCTGCGACTGGCTGCGCGACCGGCTGTGCGAACGGCTGTGCGAACGGCTGTGCGACCGACTACGCGACTGGCTCTGCGACTGCGACTGGCTGTGCGACCGACTGGTCTCGGCCAGTTCGCTCGCATGAGCAGGATGCGAAGATCCCTCCCAAGCGGAGCTTCCCGCCTGCCCCGCTCGGCGCGCAGTGCCGCAGTTAGCGCCGCAAAGAGCGGCGTAATCAGCGCCGGCAACTGCGGTTGCTGCCGTGGCGGAACCGCCCCTCGCAACACCAGGGATGACCAGATTAGCATCAGGGGAAGCGGAGCCAGCGGCGGCGGCTGCAGCGGCGGCGGCAGCTGCGGCGGCGGCGGCGTGAGCGGGAAGGCCCGCCTGGTGCGCAAGCGCGGACTTGGCAAGCTGCTGCACCATCAGCTGAGCCTCGGGCTTTAAAGACCCCATCGCCATACCGGGAACGTGCATGAACGGCAGGGCTACTAAAGCGGCGGCGCCGCAAACGCAGCGCCTGGAAGGGCAACCGCAGGCCCTGCGCCCCGTGCCCGGGCCCTTCCCCTTGGGTTTCTTCGCATGCGGCGGCTTGGGGGGGAATGCGCCGCACTTGCACATTCGTGCGGGACATCCGCACGCCCGACGACCCGTCCCGGGTCCCCTCCCGCCGAGCTTCTTAGGCAGAATAAAGACCTTGCCCGGAGGCAGGCCCGTTGCTGCGAATGCGCCATACGCGTTAAGAGCGTAGGAGGAACTGGCGGAGGCAGCAGCGGCAGCTGCGGCGGCGGCTGCTGCTGCCGCGGCGGCGGTGGCGGCGGCGGCGCGGCAGCGGCAGGGGCCAGTGGCGGCACAGGTGGGGCAAGGGGGGAGGAGACCGAGGGTTTGGTGGGCGGAGTCAGCGTGTGTGGCGGAGTCTTGGTGTGCGCGGGTGGTGCTGCTGCTGGGGAGGCGCGGCGACGGCGATTGGACAGGAGAAGGCGAGGCGCGCGGAGAGTGGGAAGAATCGCCTAGGCTGCCAGACGCTGACATGGGACTCCGGTTTGTCGCATGCGTTGACTGTGATGTTGACTGGGGTGGCGTTGACTGGTGAAGCGTTGACTGGAGCGTTGACTGGAGCGTTGACGGAGGAGCGTGGCTCGGGTCGTTCTGGTGATCCGCATGCGAGAGGGACAAGTCACTAGGCACCCGGCGCCACAGGGGCCTACCCCGGCTCACCCGCGGAGCCGTGGACGAGCAAGAGGAGCAGGAGGCGGGTGAGGAGCACGGGGAGAGGGTGGGTGGAGGAGAGTCTAGCGCGAGCTTAGGAGAATCCAGGCTGGTGGCGCTGGTAGGGGTGGGTTTACGGCGCGAGGTGCGAGGAGAGTTGATGCGGGACGCGGGAGATTGCATGGTGCTGTGCGGTTAACAGAGGCGCTGGGAGCCGCCTGAAAGGCCGCAATTGGATCCGGGAGCGAGGAGCGATAGAGATTTAAAGAGTCTGCGCGTCATTCGGCAGGAGAAGGATCGGTGGAGATGAAAGAATGGAGGAAGTGGAGGGCTGTGTGTGGGAAACGGAGGTGACCAGAGTCAGGAAAAGGGGCGTCTGGAGTTGACACTTCGAGATTCCTCGCGGCGGAAGAGTTAAGAATTAATGCCAGAGAGAACCTTGAGCTCTTGGATGTTCAGAATTCTAACTTCGCCCTGACTGAGTACGGAGGACTCTCCAGCGGAACGGTATGGCAGAGAAGTCGTGAAGAACAACGCTTAAGCTGTGAAGGGTATTCGAGACAGGTGTGCACACGAGCAGTATAGGCGGCTATAATGGGTGATCAGAGAAGATGCACGGCGGTGTCAGGCGACTAACAGATTGACGTGTGAAGACAATCTGGGCGCGCAACTCCCGTCTCGTCCCGCTGGGAAATGCTCCTGCTCGCTGAATTCACGATTGCGATTTATTATTAGACCTCAAAATCGCTGGCTTCATGATAAATTTGAGGCGCGGGATTGATTGATCGATTGCCCGCTGGTTTCAAGCCCTTCTTGCTCGCGCGAACGGGGACCAGACGGAACGAGGCCAGGCGGGGAGTCGTGGACTCGTGGTAAGAGTCAGTCTGGTAGGGAGGTGTAATTGTCACCATGAATGAACAGCGGTTTTGTCAGCAGCAGGATGTGACGAGGCGACGGGCCGTCGACTGGAATTCGGGAATGATACGAGGGGAAAGCAAGGTGGGGGATGCCTCATCTGCTTGCGACGCTGCGCGAACCGGGGAGTAACATGTTGCTCACATTCAAGCTCGCTCTCATTTGGCTCGGCTCGCCTTGCCATGGCTCAGCAGCGAGTGCACTTTTTCCTGCTATTGCTCCACACCATGGATCTTCCGTCATCCTCCCCATTCCCAAGCCCAAGACCTAGCCCTTACTGTTCCGCCCTTGCAGCCGCTTGGTGCAATTCCCGTCCCGCACCACGCGAATTTCCGCCGATGACGGCCCGACTCTTGGATGGGCGAAACGAAATGATTTTGTTCAGGGGCTGGTGGGCTGTGGTATGCCGGACACGGCGGCTCGGCTCGCAAATGGCTTGGTCTATCGAGACTGGGAAATTTTCGAGCGTACGATATGGAGCCACGCAGGAGGATCGGACGGTTAGGTGAGAGTTTTACACTGCCAGCGCACTTAGCGGAAGTAGGCCTAGGTTCTGTCCCGCAATTCTGGTTTCGGGCGACGGCGGAACCCTCCACTGGAGTCACCCTTGGGCTTTGCTAAACCGCATTCGCATGTCGGGCGCGCCGAGTGGGTAAAGAACCCAACCATACCTCCCATCCCAACATCAGCTGTTGGTTTGGTTTGGCAATGTCATCCATGTCTTGGCCTGGGCAGCAGCAGGGGCAAGCATCATCTCGCCACAGGCGAAATGTTGCTGCCGCGCGACATTCCCAATGTGGCTGAGGCGCGGCGAGGTGACCCCGAGGTTCTTCAACCAAAATTGCTGGGCCGAGTTTTGGGGCGATGCCAAAGACAGATGGGGCCGGAATCGCGATAATCACGCTGGATGGAAAGCAAAAAGCGCGCCGATATTAGAGATAAAATGAGTCCACCTGGGCTGACCGAGTCCATGGTAGGACCCTTGCTCGTGCTATGGAGGCTCCAGTGCGGACGTGGACCCCAAATTCTGCAGTGGAGCCGACATAACGACGAGGATTCCGCCTGCATTTCATGAACTACCCTCAGAGGGAGTCAAAGTTGTCCAGCAGCTGTCATCATCTTACTGGTGTTCAGGATCTAAATGAGTAGCCAGACAAGTCAAATTTCTGATCGCCCTAAAAATGGGGGCGGCAGGGAAAGTACAGCTGTTTCACGACAGCATTCAAAAGGAGCCACTCTCCGATACAGTCAACATTTGTCAGTATATGGAGGTATATGAGCAATTACTCTGTAGCGGTAGAAACAACGATGTGGAACATATTTCACAACTAGCTTTCAAATAGTTTCATACTACTGCCCTCCACTTCCCCCTTTTAGACCCTTGGCACCTTACCTTTTCAGGCAATATCGATGGCTTGAATCAAACCCCTCTAATACGCAACAGCTTCCACAACCATGCTAGGCGTGTGGTGGTGCTATGTAGTGCAAATTTGATGCGAGTTGGTTCGATGCGGTTGAGTACAGCGCATCAAGAACCCGATAAGCATTATGTTTGATAAGAGATCCTTAAAAGCCCTCGATTTAGCAAACAATTCCTTATCAGATGATCGTGCAATACACCCCTTATTGTGTTATTGTTAAACACATCAGTCACTTGTTATGTCACCCACCCACCTATCACATCAGTTACATGTTATGTCACATGTGGGGGTCTCGTTGGAGTCATGTTAGCTGGTGGCTGCAATCTCAAATCGGCAGAGCGGGCAGGTGCGGTTCTGAACAAACCATGTTGTGATGCAGGCGTTGCTGCAGCACGGGAGAAGACGGAGGGGAGAAGGAAATTGTTTGCAAGTGATGTGAATAGTGCTCAATCGGGGAGACTAGGAGTTAAGGCAAATCTTGGAGAGGGGGGCATGTATGATGTATTATCTTAGTATTGTTTGTATGCGAACAGTCAGACCAGCAAGCCCTTACCATGGCTACTGTTGAAAAGGGTGAGGGATGCTTACTGGAAGGTGTGGTGGCAGGGAAGACATGCCAGAAGGTCTCCCACCATTGGAGGAGAAAGACAAATCTGCTCAGAGAAGGGAGGTAAAGGTTGAAAGCGGAAAGCCGGGTTGAAAGAGTGGATGGAAGCTGGGATGTTGGAGATGTCTGGCTTTCACGTGGGAGTGAAAGAGAAAGAGAGACCTGGGGGTAGCAAGCAGCGGCACAAAGACGCAGGAGTTAGGGCGTTGACAGATGGAGCGCATGGGGTAAGAAAAAGAACAAAACCAAGCGTAGTGAATGTGCGTAGTGGAACAGAGGTCGTGAATGAGTCTGGATTGGATGCGCTGGGAAGAAAGGGCCACGTATGAGTTTTTTTTAGGGGGGGGGGTGGTAGTGCACGTGTGGTAGAGCGTGCGTGGGGGTAGGTAGGGTAGGCGCACCTGGCAGTCTGGGTGTGAGTGCATGTCAGCAGGGGTCACAGTGAGCCGCTCCAGTGCCCACAGCTCTCGAGGAGTGAGGCCCCTGCAGGGAAAAGAACCGAGGAAGAGAAAGAGAAAGCAAAACGGAAATGTCGGAAGGCCGTGAGAACGGAAAGGAGCACCAAGTTGCCAGAAAGCACCGTTGCACACAGAAGTGCCAAGAGGCCAAGAAGCACCGTTGGGCGCCGCACGTGTGTTACCTCGGCACAATGCCTTCATCCAGCAGAAGCAGCTCCTCATACGACAGCTGCCCAACACTCTCCCCCATCCCCATCCCCATCCCCATCCCCATCCCCATGCCACCACTGCTCACCCTCCCCTCCCCGAAACCTCGCCCTCCCACCGACCACTCGCCAGCACCAGTCACCCCACTGCCAGCAGCAGCGCCAAGCATGGCATGCTCAGCAGCATCAGGAGCCCGGCCAGAGAGTGCAGGGGAGAAGACTGCAGCGGAGAGCAGGCTGCTATGGCTGGAGGTGCGGCGAGAAGAGCGAGAGGAGCGAGAGAAGACGTGGAAGAGGTCGGGCGAGGCTGACGTGGGCGAGGCTGGCTGGTCGTCGCCCTCCTGCTCCACCTCTGGTAGGCAAAGGGGGTGGAGCAGGAGGGGGGGGGAGTGGGGATGGTAGAGGGCGGGGATGAGGGGCAGGCAAAGAGCGTGAGGGAAGCAGCAGAATCAGTGTATGAGAGTGGTGGTGTTTGGAACAGGCAGGAGAGTGCGGGGGAAGGAGTGCGGATAGGTGGGTGGGAGGGAAGAGGGGGGGAGAGGGTTGGAGTGTGATTGTGTGGTTTGGTGGGTGGCACCTGAGAGCCGTCGCCGCATGGTGAAGGGGCGAGTGGGAAGCGTGTCACGAGGGAGAGGCGAGAGAGGCGCCAGAAGCATCGCATCCCACATGCTCACGCTGCTACCGCTGCTGCTGCTGCTGCTGTTCCGGCCTCTCCCGTACCCACTGGCGGTGCTATCCCTGCCACTCCCACTGCTACTGCTACTAGGCCTCTGATCCGAACCCATCACAGCAACGCCATACTCCACCATACTAGGCCTCTGACCGTAGGCAGCACCTGTCACTAACACCGTGCTCCCTTGGGCACCACCCGTCACGAGGACACCTTGATCCCTCTGCAGCACTTCACCCTGGCCGACCTCCCGGGCTTCGCCTCCCTCTGCCGTGCCCTGCAGTGCCTCTGTCCCCGCCTCCGCCTCTCCTGCTTCTGACTCCTCCCTCCCCTCCTCCCTGTCCTCCTCCTCGCCCTGCTCCCTCCCCTCCTCCCTCCCCTCCGCATCTCCCGGATCCACCTCAGGTTCCTCCCCTGCGCGCACCACTCCCCACTCCCGCACCTCTACCTCTTCCTCCCCCGTCTCCTCCTCTCCTGTCACCTCTGGGCTGTCCCCATCATAGCCAGCAGCAGCGGCAACAGCGGCAGCAGCAGCAGAGGCAATAGCAGCAGGTTCATTCACCTGGATTGCCAAAGCACCACGCATGCTGAAGCCGAAACCATTGCCATCATTGCCATCATCGCCATCATCGCCAGGATCACCATCGTCTGCGTCAGCATCACATGCGGTATCGTGATCAGGCATGGCGTCCATCCCCGCCATGTCTTGCCCGCCCTCCGAGTTGGCCTGTGGCAGCAGCACCTCAGCACCAGCAGGGTGCAGCAGCGGCAGCCGGCGCACAGAGGAAGGCAGCACCAGGTTCAGGTTCCACTCACACGCCCCCCACCACCATGCCACCTTGCCCCGCCTCACACCGCCCCCGCCACCATTGCCACCAGGAAACGCAGCAGCAGAAGCAGCAGCAGAAGCAGCCAGAGAGGAACCAGAGGCGGCGGTCGGGGAGAGGGGCGAGGCGGAGGGCGAGTGGTCGAAGAGCACGAGGGGGCGGTCCTGTGTCGACATCCATGGACTCCTCATCCCTGGGCTCCCCATCCCTGGGCTTCTTGCCATCCACCTGTCGCTGCTCTCCCCCAACACGCTGCGCCAGCTCCTCGCTTTAGCCTCACCGTGCCCCGACGCCCCTTCGCCACCACGCAGACCCCACTCTCCCTCCTCTCTCTCCTCTCTCTCCTCTCTTTCTTCTTCTTCGTCGTCGTCGTCCTCCTCATTCTCCGGCTCGTCCTCCTCCGCATCCGTCGACCCACTCCTCCCATCGTCGCGCCGAGCTACCATCGCCCCGCTTGGCGACCAAGACACCGAGCTCGCCCTCCACGACAGATACTCGCCAGGTCCACCGATTTCGCCGATCTTGCCGATCTCGCCAACCTCGCCGAGTTTGCCGAATCCGCTCTTCCTTGTGCTCCGCTGCGGAAACGACCTCCGCCTCTCCAGCCTCCGCGGAACAGGAGCCGCCGCCAGTCGCGGCGACGCTACAAACGACCCCGAGCCAGAGTCGTCGCAGCTCGGATCCGAGACTTCCAGCTCAGCCATGGACGGCGGGGACGGCGGCGGCGGTAGCGGCGGCGCCCCTCCGTATGATGCTGCCGCATCTGAAGCCGCCTTTGACGGCTCGTTGTCCGTGCGAGCGGCCTCTCCGCCCACGGGCGGCCCAGCGGAATCGGCGGCACCGGCTGTCGAGACCCGTCGCCAGGTGTGACTGGGCGTCTTAAAGTTGGGCCAAGGAAACAGGCTGAACCGCGGAGTGGTCGGCGGAACCGCCGCAGTGCTGCTGCTGGCGAGAGCGATTTGGGGCGTCTCAAGGCACGCAGCAGCAGAAGCAGAAGTAGAAGCAGAAGCCGAAGCAGCAGCAGCAGCAGCAGCAGCAGCAGCAGCAGCAGCAGGAGCGCCAGTGGAGCCGCTGGTGACGTTAGTGGCACTGAGACCGCGACCGACGGCAGCGACGGAATTACGATTGCCGGAGTTGGAAAGAGTGCGCTCGGCGGAGTGAGAGGCGGCGTAGGATGATGCGGCGCATGATGCGCTCGGATTTGGACTTATTTGATTAGGGGAGGTGGCAGTGGCACCACTGGCGCTGCCTGGCAGATGAACGAGGATGCAGCTGCTGCCAACAGCAGCGCTGCTCTTGCGACCACGTGGGCTCATGCCCGTCAATGTCATTACGGAGCTCCGGCGAGCCGCCGCGAGCGGTCTGACGGACGCTGACGGATTCTGTTGCCCCCGACACCATGAAGCCACGCCCTGCCATAAAAGGGGCGCCAGGCTAGAAGGCTGTCGAGCTTCCCAGGAAAAAATAGCTTCACTGTGTGAAGTGCGGTGCAGAATGTGGCGTTGCGGGTTAGGTATAGCGTTCTGTTGAGGTTCTAAGCTGATGTAAGGAACCCGAAGTAACCCAAATTGGCGATTGAGTGGGGAACGGGCTGCTACGCGCGTCACTACTAGCGGCAGGAAGAGACCAGGCGTAAGATGAACGTAGTAGAATTCAACGAGGGAGAAAGAGGAATCCCATTGCGAAAACCACGACCCTCAAATACACAGTTCTGGTGGGGTGGATGGGCGGAGTCCAGTCGATCGACGAATGCTCCTGCAGATTGGAAATGCGCGGCTCGATCACCCCAAGCCGCTCAGAATTGATCGCGTCGCACTCAACTTGCTCATTCATTCCATCGTCGAACCGCTGCTACCAACCCGAAGCTCCTGGATTGTCGCAATCTAGATCAAACCGCATTATCCGTTCCAAAGAGTGGCTTTTCTCCGCTCCAAGATTTTCGGATGGGCCAATCCCGTCTATTCAGACCGTCAGCAGATGGCTTCCGTCATGTCTACTGTTCGCGTCCCGTCAATTAGGCGTCACAGGTATCAGCGTTATGGACCTTCTCTCGTTGCAACGGGAGGGAACAAGCAAGACAGATGGCTTTACTTATAAAATGTTACATTCCACGTGGTAAAAGCAAATCACCTACAAACGTTATTCCGATTTCCATGACCCCGAAACTACGAAGAGTAGCAGTCACTTTCTGTACACGCATCAAACGAATTAGCCAGCATTCCAAATGCTCAACCTACGAGATGCAAAAAGCACTGGTGGCAAGACACAACCATGCAGATCCTCACTGGAGCCGGCCCTTCGGCGGCACCGCAAACATGGGCCGGCCCTTCTGCCTCACAATCTGGCGAAGGGCGACACAGATATTATTTTTCGACGCATCCTCCGTGGAAGGAGCCTCCTCTATCTGAGCACCCATCCCAGCAGATGCCATGTCAGAGCAGTCTACATCTGGCTCCCTTGATTCCTCCTCACTCTCCTCACCAGCCCCCGCGTGCTCTCCTGCACTTATCCTCGGGCTTGTCCTCTTCTCGTGTGACGAAGTCACGTTACATTTCTGCGCCACTAGCACCGCCAGCCTCCTCGCATTCGCCTGCTGCATCTTCACCACTGTCGCCTCCGAGCTGCTGCCTGTGCTGCTGCTCGACGCACCAACAGCCTTCCCACCCCCTCCCACCTCACCCCGCCCTCGCTCCATCTCCAAACCATCGCTCCCTTCACTCTCCTCACCCATACCTCCCAAAAACGCATCATGCCCGCTCCCCACCCCATCCTCGCTTTCCGAGTCATCCTCCTCCTCCTCCTGCTCCGCCTCCAGCCTGCCTTTCCCTTTGAGAGCAGCCGCAGTTCCTTGACCAGCAAGAGCCGCAGCCAGAGCAGCAGCCTGGCACCGGCGGCGCTTGGACGGCGCTTCCTGCGCCACCATTCGCGCCAGCTCCTCTGTCCACCCCCTGATCACATCCTCAACCGCAAACCCCGACGCCGCAGCTGCAGCTGCTGCAGCCGCTACCGCAGCATCCACAGCAGGATCCCTGGCGCTCTGCTCCCACCCACCCCCCACAGCAACACCAGCACCAGCACCAGCGCCACCAGAACCACTACCAGGGGCAGCACCAGAACCAGCACCGGCACCGGCAGCAGGGGGAGCCAATGTCAACATCCCAGCATCAAACGAGGGAGGTCCGCCGAGCCACAGTCCATCGGTGTCCAGCCCCAGGCCCTCATAGGGGTTCATGGTAGTGCCATCCGCTGCCTGCAGCATCTTGCCTATGTCGTCAGACCCGAACATGAGACTCGGCAGCGACTCCAAGATGTTCAGTGGAGGTGGCAGAGGCACTGCTGCTGCTGCTGCTGCTGCTGCGGATGCAGATGCAGCATCCGCGGAAGTGGCAGGAGCCGTGGCCTGACCAGCCGCAGTAGGCGGAGCAAAAGAGGGGGCGGCAGACGAGGGAGTGGCAGCAGCAGCAGCACAAGAAGGGACAGGGGCAGACTGGCCGGCGAATACAACCGGTCCCTTGGCAGCGTTGTCCCAATGCAGCAGCAGAGCCGCGGACGAAGCGTCTCGCTCCTCTGACCCTGCCCCGCTTGACCCGCTGGCGCAGCTGCTGCCGCCTCTTGTCAGCTCTGTGCCGTCATCGCCCTCCCCCTCCCCCTCTCCCTCTCCGCGCGCCACAGTTGCAGCAGCAGCAGGAGAAGGGGCGGAGTCAACGAGTGCGAGACCCCCTAGCAGGGAGTCCACCGCACAAGGCGGCTCCTCTGCAGCACACGACGCTTGTGCACCAGAGCCAACATATGCTGCGCCTGCAACAACTGCAGCACCCGCCACAGCTGTGTCACCTGCAGCAGCAGCAACAGCAGCAGCAGCAGTGGTGGCAGATGAATGGTGCAGCAGCAACGAGTCTAGAGTATACCCTCCTGCATCTGCGCCTGCAACCACCGCTGCTGCTGCTGCGGCTGCTCCCGTAACGGTATCTCCCGCCGTTGTTGTTGCAGCCGCTGCCTCATCCGCTGCCTCCACCTCCCACGGCAACTTGAACGCCTCTCCCATAAGCCAAGGCCACAAGTCCTGTCCCTGCTGCTGCTGCTGCCCCTGCTCCGAATCTGCGACGCATTCCACCTTCACTCCAACTCCTCCCCTCCTTACAAGCCCACTACCCTCCACCCCATCCTCCCCCGCCGTCTCCTCGTCACTCTCCTGCCCGTCCTCCCCCTCGCCCTCCGGACGCCGGTAATCCGGGCCCCCTTCGGCGTAAGCGGGAGGCGGGGGGAAAAGCGCGGGGTTTGCGCGCGCGTTGGGGGCGGGGTGCGGCGCTGTGGGTGCGCCTGGGCGCGGAGTGTCGGCGGGGGCGGGATCGGAGAGCAGCGGATTGGGCTGCTGCACGCCCTTGTTGAACACACGGCACAGCACCAGAGAGCCCTGGGGGTGGTGAGACGGCAGAGGGGTGGTGAGAGGCGCGATTGGCGGGAGGCAACGACGAAAAAACGGCGCAACAGGGCAGGCGAGAGCCGCGGAGAGATGAGCATGGCGCAAGAGAACGAACTGCCCGAAAGGGTAAAGAAAAAGCGGTAACACACGAGGATGCAAAAATGCACGTCTTTCCTCAGTCAAACATTGAACTTCTATGCAACTACGGTGAATCATCGACTCACCACGGGTTTCCTTCCAGAGCCGATGCCGGACCCGCCGCCGCCGCCGCCGCCGCCGCCGCCGCTAACTCCACCACCGCCGCCGTTGGCCGTCATGGCGTTGCTGTTGCGCTGCTCCAGGCGGTACTCGTGCATGACCCAGTCGCTGCGCTTGCCGCGTGGCGCCCGGCCCTCGTAGAAAACCAGCGTCTTCTTCATCCCCACCACGCTCACACCGTCCCTTAGCCGCACCATCGGCACGCAGTACTGCTCCTGCCCCTGCTCCTGCCCCTGCCCCTGCGCTTGACCCTGCGCCTGCGCCTCCCCCTGCGCCTGCTCTGAACGTTGTTGCGCGGAGGCCTCTCCCGCCGCCGTCTTCCCACCCTCTCCCTCCCTCTCCCCTCCGCCTGTAGCGACGGATGTGGCGGGGACGGCGGGGGTAGCGGGGGGGAGCGGCAAGGTGCGGTCGTTGCCGGTGGCTTTCCAGTAGCCGCGGTTGGTGCAGCGGTTGGTGCGGCGCGAGTGGCCGTACTTGTGGCTGCGACGGGCGAAGAAGTACCACTCGCCGTCGCCTATGCGACAGAACGCTGCGGGGAAGGAGCGAACCGAGAGGAGCGGTGGAAAAAGAACGGAGAAAGGGAGAGAAGGAGCAGAAAGACAAGAGCTAGCGAGTGAGAAGAAAGCGAAAGGAGCGAATGACCGGGCAAGCGCAGACAAGGAAACAAGAAAGGCACGAAAATGCGAAAAATAAACGACGACGACTGGGGCAAGGAAGCGACGTAAGGAAGAAACTAAAAGAAACACGTACGCGGGAGCTCCCATGGCTCGCAGTCGAAGACGTCGAGGCTGGCGATGATGTTAGTCCAGCTGCAGTCGGGAGCAGGCCCCAGATCACTCCCATCCTGGGTCAAACCGGTCAGCGCGCGCTTCCCGTCGTCCGATACGCGCACGCGAGGGTAGAGGTAATGTGACACGAGTTCCTCGTCCAAGGGCTTGAACCGGAAACCCGGCGGGAGTTGCGGCAGGGATGCCTGACCGGATCCTGACGCGCGGCAGGGAACGGCACTCGCACCCATGCTTGAGTCACGGGCTTTCGAGCTGCTGGTTACCACGCTCCCCGGTGTTACATTTCCGTGCACGCCTGGCGATGTGCGATTCTTTGCGGCTACCACTGGTTGCTTGAACGAAGCGGACGTGCCGCGGATAGGGGTGGGGGAGGGCGCATCCTTAGAGCGTTTTTTAGGGATGAGGATGGAGAGTTGCTGAGCGGAGGGGTCTTGGTTGAACGTAAACTCCTGAGCTGCTGATGGTGCCAGATCCTGCGCTATTTCATGCCGCTGCTGCTGCTGCTGGTGCTGCTGCTGTTGCTGCTGCTGTTGCTGCTGCTGCTGTTGCTGCTGCTGCTGGTACTGCTGCTGTTGCTGCTGCTGCTGCTGTTGCTGCTGCTGCTGCTGTTGCTGCTGCTGCTGGTACTGCTCTAACAGTCCAGACTTCTTGGAAGGCGTCCTGGAACCCAATAACATTTCCTTATAAGGGCGGAAAATGGCTGACTGATGCAGCGATGAGGTGCTCAAGGTGACTAGCTGCAGATTCCACAAAGAGAAAGCAGCGCTGGAAAGACCAGATGCCCAACGCGAAAGGTCGAAAGATGCCTTCAAACAAAAAATCACTTCCAGATGCTGGGTCAGACCGGAAAAAAGGGCAGTACGATAGTAGAATTTTCTGGGTCTACTGAGCAGTGGAAGTAAACAGTAGTTACGCTAGTTAGGAGCTTGGACTAAACAGCGTGGGAGTAGGGGGAGCTGGGAGTGAGGGGAAAGGAGCAGCAGAGGGGAGGAAATCAGACGGACGGGGGTGACCAAGAGGATGACAGCAGACGGAGAGCCGGCTTCAACTTGACGTTCGGCGCGAAAGCGAAAACGGTTCGTGTTTGGCGAAATGAGAGCAGGGAAGTGAAGTGGGAGATGACAGCCAAAACCTCGGAAATCACGGCGACAGTCGGTGGAGTCTGTCCACGGTTTTCACATATCTCTCTCGAGTCGAGTCTCCTCCCTCCACCTCTGTTCACGAGATGCTGGAGGAGAGGCTTGCTCGCTGATGGTTCGCCACGTGCCAAAATTCGCAAACGCCGTCTTATTGGGTGAACTGTTTTAGTTGATGAGAGCCGATTGGTGGGTGCAACAACGCGCTTTTCCTGCAGGTAAGTGTAGGCGTGGTAAGTGCTGCTTTCATAAGATCGGACGGCCAATGGTAATGCCGTGTGATTTCTGTAGGTGATCGACGGTGAATATGTAAGCTTCGAATTAGTGGACCTTCCTACCACCTCCAAATCCTTCAAAATGCTCTAGAAGCAAACTCGGACTTGTATAGAGAAAAAAACTGAAAACATTGAAAAGTGTAATGAAGTGCAAAGAGCCTGTGTTGAAGGATTGAGTAACGAGGAAACAATACAACTGATGCAACATCAAAACAACAGGGAGCATGGATATGGCTAGCCTAGGAGCACACGGTCGTGGCTTGGCAGAGCTGCGACGTGTGGTTCCAAAATTGGCGCGAAGCGCCCATATCTAGGCATGCAACAGCAAGGCGGACAACAATGCATGCGGATCGTCAAGAGGCCACATTTGGGACCGCGATTTGAATTTCGTGGCAGAGCTGCGCGGCAACCCCGTTATAGCAGTGTACGCCTTACTGACTAAAACCCGTGATAAGAAAATGCCATTTCCTTACACCCCTCCCCCCTCCAAGGTATGGTCTTAGTTAAAACCGCCGAAGTCGTGCACATTGCATGACTGAAGGTAGACTCGCAACACCGGGTAATTCTTTATCTGTGTCAGGGGCTGTCGAGAGACCCGTTGGGGTTACCCTTGAGAAGATCCTCGGGAAGGGCCACAGGTTCAGAGCCTGGGGGGCTATGGGCGCACTAACCCGCTATTAGGAAGCCCTTTTAATTCAGTGGTTAGTGGCTAAAATCTAACATGCTATCAGAGCGTTGGTGACTCGGGTTCAATTCCCAGTGCTAGAGCTGCAGAGGCGCTTGTGTCCTCCACCTATCTTAGCGAGGGGGGGTGTCGAGAGACCCGCTGGGGTTACCTTTGAGAAGATCCTCGGGAAGGGCCACAGGTGCAGAGCCTGGGGGGCTATGGGCGCACTGATCCGCTATCAACAAGCCCTTTTAACTCTGTGGTTAGTGACTGAGTTCTGACAGGGACATCCAGCTGTTTTCCAGGGCCGTCCGGTCCTTCCAGGATATCTGAAACCCGATTTGGCGAGCTTCTCGAGGTCATTGACCCAATGGCTGAGAACCTTGGCAGGTTCGACAGTTGGCTCGGCGAGCGGTCGGATGTTCGGGTTCGCTCGGTAACATGGTAGTTTACTGGTACTGACAATGTTTGGTCGAAGTAATCGCACGTGGAATAATGGGCTGGCGTTCCAGGTGGTCGGGGCTGTGACGGAAGATATCATATGGCTGATTGTAAATGGTCCACAGTAGCGAGGGCGAAGTTTTGGGACGTTGGACAGTCGAAGGTTCTGGGTGTCAAGCAGTACTAAGTCTCCAACCTGGTAAGCTACTGCTTGTCGGTGTAGGTCGGCGTTGCGCTTAGAAATAACATTCGCGTGCTTAATACCTTCGGCTGCTCGTTCCCGGGCATCCTGTAATATTTCGGCGAACTGTTGGGCTCGAGGTACAGGATTTTCGATGTTGGGTGTGATTGGTACTGTATGGTTCTGGCCGTAATTTAAGTAGAATGGTAACTGTCAGGTAGTGGCTGACGGGGCATTGTTATACGCGAACTCAATTTGTGGCAGTTGCTCCTCCCAGTCGGCCACGTCATCGCAGGTGGCTCGAATCAACCGCTCCATTGTCTCATTGGTCCGTTCGATCTGTCCGTCAGTCTCGGGGTGGTAGACGGATGAGAACTGCAGGCGCGTGCCAAATCGTTTCCAGAGATTGCGCCAGAAATTACTGGTGAATTTTGTGTCACGATCCGAAATTATGGCGGATGGGATTCCGTAATAAACTGTACTCCGGTACCCGGATGCGGTCAATCCCCGTCTTCACGTAATAGACTCCCTTAGCCGTTGCGAGCTGCTCGTACGCACCCGACGTAAATCATATGTCCGTCTGGTACCCGCGAATAAATAGGTATGTTAATAGTGGGGATGTTTGGGCGAGGATGATGGAATTGAGATGGGCTGATGGGCGAGAAAGGGGGTCTGCAAGATTCGATGCCTCATTTTTTGGGTGACCATGTAGTGGAAGTTGGACTCCATGAAATCCAGCCACCTGATCTGTCATGAAGTGGCTATGCGCGGATGTACTGTAGGCTTCAGTGGTCTGTCCGTGCTGTCACGTCCGCGCTCGTCAAGTAGCACCGCGATACCTTAAAAGCATGCACGATCGCAAGCATCATCTTGTCGTGTATCGGATAACTTCGCTCGGGCGGGTGCAGCTTTCGTGACTCGTACGCGGTTGGCTATAGGCCTTCGCTAAAGTCTTGTCACAGTACTGCTCCGATGGCAATGTCACTGGCGTCTGTGATCACTTCGAATGGACGGTGAGGATCAGCGATGCGAAGGACAGGGGCTGAGCACATAAAAGTTTTGAGCGCAGAGAAGGCAGCTTGCCCTTCCTCCCCCCACCTATACTCAGTCCCTTTCCACAGTAGGTCAGTTAACTGTGCAGTTACCCCCGCCATATTCGGGATAAATTGCCGAACATAATTTACGAACCCTAAAAAGCTTTGCAGCTCCTACAGGTTCTTGAGCGGTAGCCAGGCTTGCATTGTTTCAATTTTGCGCGGGTCCACTTCGACGCCCTTAGTGGAAATGACGTGTCACTGAAATTCTTAGCGGTCTTTTAAAACTAGCACTTCTACCCCTTCGTGAGTAGCCGATGCTCCTGCAGTAGCGTGAAAACTGCTTCAAGGTCCTTTGAGTACTGCTCCCGGGTCTCGCTGTAGATTAGTATATAATCTAGGTGGACTATAAAACACCTATCTACAAGCGAGCTGATGATCTGGTTTGTGAGAGGATGAGGCTTGCCGAATCCTTGATCAGAACCATTTGCTCATATGCTATTTATTGTGTGCTTTTCCTTTCCTGGAAATCCCTACACTCTTTCATACACATTGATATTTATAGTGGGGGAAAAAAATGCCCGGATGTTTGGCACTTCGTAATTTATCGCCATGGCAGACAATAGCCAAGGAAAATAGCCAAGGAGCTTGGCATAGGCAAAAGTATCGTGCATGATTACGGGCTGAAGGTCACTGCCGAGACTAGTCGCGATGAGGTGCGACCCACGATGCCCACGGTCGGTCGCCCACGCTTAATCACAACTCGCCTTCAGCGCGGAATAGATCGTGCGATTACTAGCGGGGAGGCGAAAACCAATATAGACGCCGCGAAAATGTTAGAGGAGAAGCATGATCTGGCTGTAGACTCGAGGACCGTTAGGATCTCGTTACGATCCGCTGGGCTAGTCACAGTGCAGCAGCCCACGAAGCCCAGGCTCTCTGCAAAAAACATCAGAGATCGGCTGGATTTCGTGAGGTCACATGCCGACTGGACGATGCAAGACTGGAAGCACGTGATATGGTCCGTTGAGACGAAGATCAATCGTTTCTGCTCCAACGGATGTGCGTATGCCTGGATTCGCGAGGGTAGCAGTCTCCGAAGCCACCAGATCTAGCAGGCAATTAAACATGGGGGCGGCTCTGTGATGGTGAGGGGCTACATGACATATGAGGGGGCGGGGTTAATGTGCAAGATCGATGGAAGGATGGATGAATCGTTGTATCGCAACATCTTGCAAGACGAACTCTCTCAGACCATCGAGTTTTACAAGCTCCCCCCCTTAGAGGTCATATTCCAGCACGACAATTATCCCAAGCACAAGTCATGACTGGTGCAAGACTGGCTTGGGGAGCAAGAGTATGCGGTGCTGGAATGGCCGTCGTCCTCCTCGGACCTGCACCCGATAGAACACCTGTGGGCCCACTTGAAATCGGAGCTGGCGAAGTACGAAAAGCCTTCCAAAAGATCTTTTGGAGTTGTGGGAGTGGGTGTAGGAGGAATGGGACAAGATTTCGATGGAAGTGTGCTCAAACCTCATTGACAGTATGCCAAGGAGGATCAAGGCGGTGATTCGCGCAAAGGGACGCTGGACTAGGTACTAGTTTTGCTAGTTTATAGTTTGCTGCCCGTCTTCGGTACAAATTGTCAGGATGTGCTCTTATTAAATGCTTTAGTATTTAAGGACCATGTACTATACAACTCTGGTTTTAGGAGACTTGAGTGAGTGTTCTAACTGCTCTTCTCAACGTGTATGCCCACCATAGATTAAGGCTTAAGTCTTACAGAGTACAACTCATCAGAATGCAAAAACATGCTAAACATCCGGACATTTTTTTTTCCGTCACTGTATACATCTTATGCGTTGCGGAGTATGTCAGGCCTTCCTTGCGTGACACATTTTCTATTGCGTGGAGTGCTCCGTCACCGTCACCGCATCTCTAGAATCCATACCGTGCTTCTATGTGATGTTCCTACGGATGATTCAACTTATTTCTAGAACTCTCTTAGAAGGTCCTAGGTACCCTTCCCAAGAGTTCTCGTAGGTATAAATAGTATTGAATCTTTGCTTGTAAACATTCAATTCTTGATTAGTATCATTCAAGCTTCAGTTAAATCTTGGACCTGTAACACCTGGTAATCAGAGCACAAGGTTTTCGATCATCACTCACTGGGCCTCTAGAAGCATGCTGAGAATGGTGTCAAACTTTTCGATCGCGTAAGAAAGCATTTTTTCTTACTAAGTTATGACTAACCTCGACCAGCTGCACCTAGGGTCCCCATCGATGGCGAGCAGCATCGCCAACCGTTCAATTTTCAGCATGGACGGAGCCGATTTTTCAGGGGGGCATACGTCAGCGACCCTCGTCTATGAGAGGACGTCCCTGAAGTACCTGCATTAAAATCAGGATT